ATAGAGTTTTCTAATGGGTCTTTAGTTACAAATTAAATTTCATCAAAATCGGACGACTATATAATATAGCTGTCATATGAACAATATGGAAAATTAATAGAAAAATCGTTATAGCTTCGATGCTCTTTAGCTTTTATGTATTTTGTTCGTCATATTTAGTAACTGCAAGGGTATATCAGCTTCGGCTTGCCGAAGCTAGCTTCCTTTCTTGTTAAATTAGAAGTTACTTTTTCGATTACATTATGTTGTGAATTTGTTTCGTGCAAATAAATTGTTTGTGCCCTAATGGTAATCAACTCATTAATCGAAAAAATGTGTGTATTTGCATTGAGGATTGAACAACGCCATCAATATATTTTCCAAGAACGCATAATATCAATCTGAACTGTCAACAAAAAGAGAATTTTTTTACATTGCGAGCCTGAACATTTTAGAAATTACTTTTTTTTTAATGAGTGTAAAACAAATCACACTATCCATTACATAGCAAAAATTTCCCATAGTTTCTAGCCACCTTTTGAGGTTCGAGCTATCAAAGTAAGGTTGCAGTGACACCAAGACTTTTCATTCGATTTCCCGCTCCGCCGCCGCTTTGCCAAAAATGATTCCCCCGGGCCAAACTCTCCCCACTCATCCAGTCATCGGGGCTCGGCCCATCTCATCTCGCCTGGCGTTGTCAACAATGTAATTTATCAGGCAAGCGACATAATTACCTGCCACTTATGGCAATAAAAAAACAACGCAGACGGAGCGAGACAGGAAAGAAACTCGGACCCCATCTCGAACTCAAGGCCCGAACCGACGAAGCCTGGCCGAAAGCTAGCTGGCTGCATTCAAATGCCGTCCGCAGCGGGCGACGAGCGGCGGCAACTGAAGCTGAAGGATTTATGTTCTTACAAAACGCTCCGAGGCGCTTAACAAGTGAGCCAACCAACCGGCGACCAGGGCCATAGATTGATCGTCTTTGCGTTGGGCCGAGGGAGGTACACTCCGAAAAATCGAACAATGATTAATTATTTGTATAGGATACATTGTACTATAATATGAGCTTAACAATAAATGAAACAAAAAATCATATCCCACGAATTTTTTGCTTTAAAAATTGTACAAATTTTAAGAGAAACTAGTAAAATTATAAACTTATGCAAATATTGCTTATATGAATATTTCTTATATATTTTTTATGTGTTAGATCGAACCCCGAAACATTTTCTTTGCATGTGTATCTTGAGCAGGGTTCAGCACATAGAGCCGAAGTCTCGGTTGAGACAACGGGGCGTATGGGCAATGAAATTGCCGCCACTTGGTAGCCGCCGTTTAGCGCCTGCCTCTGCAACAGATTCCCACAACCGGCGGCACACCCGCTTTGATCTCTTTCCCTCTTTTTTTGCCAAGTAGCTGTGAAGGAGATTCGTGCCTGCCCCGAGCTAAAAGCGTTGACAAGTCACATAAGCATTGTGATCCGGCGAAGATTTAACATATTGGCCAACACTGCGGTTAAGTTAACCCTGGGGGTGTCCGTCGTGGTTTCTCCTGCGGGAGTCGGTTGCCCGCTGTCTGGTGTAAATTAGTTGACAAATGGTGCGGCCTATGCAATAAAGCAAGATAGCATTTAATCCCATCGGCAAGAGTTTATCATATTAAGTGATTAATTGCTGGAAGTAAATTTCAGAAAAAAGAAATGTATTTTTTAAATTAAAATTTTTGTAAAAATGTTGTAAAATGATCTTTATTTTATGACTCTCAAAAGCTATAAACTTGTGAACTTAATATATTTCACAAATTAATTTAATTTTTAGTTCGTGAGAGTAAGCGCATAATTAAATCAAATTTTTGCTATTTATTATATCCAAATTTAAACTTATGTATTTATCCTAATAACCTAAACAGTTATAATAACAAATTATAATTGATTTATTTACTGTACTGTACTGTATTTATATACTGTACTCAAAATGCTCTTCATATTTCAAAAATTTGGTCAATAAATTTCTCTCTATAGCAACTAATGGCCCGTTGTTTGACAACGCAAGATCCCATCAGCAGCCGCTTCGGTTCGGGCCACATTTCCTTGTCGAATTCCTTGTGGATTCCACCCCAGTCCCAATCCCAATCCAATGGCCATATATGCGGGGACTGGGGCTCCCGCCCGAACCAATCCCCCGGAAAGCGTCATAACAGTACAGCAGCCCGCAACACGACGGAACAATAACAGAGGGACTTCTGTTGACCCCGCCGGGTGAACCCACCTGCTCGGGGGCCTTATCAATTGCCGTTAGATGGGACGGGCCAAATGGAGTCGCCTCACTTCTTAAAGCACAGAAATCGCCAGACAAATTCATATTTTATTGCCGCGGTCCGTGGCCGGGCCGAAAGCATTAACAAACAATGCCACGGCAACATGGCAACACGGCAACAACGGCAAACAAGAAGATCAATGGAAAAGCAAATATTTTCACTCCGCGGTTGCCTAATCCGAGAGCAACAGCTCCTGGTCGTCTTGGCCATTGTTTCTGCCGCTGGCACCGCTGCCGTTCCAGCTTCTTGGCCAAACTGCATTTCGAACATAATTTTCATATGTCGCTCTGGCAGTTATAATCACGTTCACAGCTCGTTAGCCGAATGCGAATACAAATAAAATTACCGAAAACCCGAATTTGAGCCACAACCCACCTGTAGCTCCTCCACACTCCACTGCCTGTTTGGCCATAATTGTCCGAACCAGCATATCCTACAAGAGGCTAGCTGGCTGGCTGGATGGCTTGCTGGCTATCACCATATTGACCATTAGGCGGGCCGAGAGTGCGTTTTGCATTTTGTGCATCTTCATCGATTTCACCATTTGGCGCGCGGTGCATAATTGGCCATACCAAGACCGACTAAGACGGGCCAAAACCCCTACAGACACACTAAAATCAATTTGGATGTCTTCATATACATTTCAGTTTACAAATTTATATTTTAAAAATACTACAATTTATATTTTATCTAAATAAGGCGACTTTGAATAACTATACATAATAATAATAATTAATAAGGGTCGTTAAAATGAATTAGAGCCTGAGTTTTAAAAGACTGTACTCAAACCTTAGTTTCAACTTTGAAAATTAGGAAGAAAATATTAACAAGAAACGAATTTATAATCGTATTCAGACTACAGAGAAATTATATTTTGTTAACTTAGTTTAATTTCTACTAGTTTAGTTCTTCGTTGAATGGGATGGCTTAGTACATAATAAATTCTTAATGTCTCTTTTCATAATTATTTTTTTCACTGTGTACTGAGAGCAAGACAAAGTCAAACCAACGGCACGTTTTTCCTCGCCGCTGATGATTACCGATATTGCAGCAAGTGAAAAATGCGTTGGATGCGTGGAAAAGTTTTCTGTTTTCTTCGTTCACCGAAAAATCTTATAGCGAGGAAAATTCCCTCCATTCCTCTTAATTTCGTACCAGGCAAGTATGAAATGGGTGGATCTCGATGAGTAAAAGAAATCTGGAAATTGTTAAGGTATTTCAGAAGAACGATCAAAAGACATTTTAAAAAGTTTTAATCAATTAAAATTAATTTAAAAGAAGTCATAACCTTTTAATTGCAGCCCTAAAAAATACTTAAGTGTCATATTTATGCTCAGGTAATTTCAAATAACAAATTAAAGCATCTTGGCGAAATAAGATAAGATCCCTTTGAATTTCCCTTATTGAAAGTAAACTTTTTGTTTTAATCTTTCAGTCTTATAATTTTTTTTTCATATAAAATAAAATTACTCGATGTAACTTCAATCATACACTGAAAGATACATATGATTTATTCATTTATTTTAACTACAACGGTATACTACTAATATTTGCCAAATACCATTCAATGTTTAAGGTGTATATAACTATAACCTTATATTACGAAATCAAATTTTTTTTTATTGAAATTACATTATTTTCCAAATTGTTTTGAAAATTTAAATAAAACAGAAATACCCGCCTAACTTTTGTTTATGTTTCTCTGTAGATGGGGCAGCCCTCTGGTAACCAGTTTTCTTTAGTCTGGCAGCGCTGTTCAAGCCGTATCCGACGTTTCCAGTCACTGTACAAATCACGACTTACATTTACCGAACATTGAATGTTAAATAATTTTGTTTTATTTTTGATACAATTTAAAAGGCAAGTATAATTATACGGCTTATAACAATAGTTATGTAGAACTTAAGATCTCTGTAAAGTTTTATTTATTTTCCAACATTGAAATCCAGCATGTATGTATATTAACAGCGGGTAACTTAACAGCACACTGAATGTTGAGTAGTAACAGCTGAGATGTTAGCAACATATTTTTGAGCTGGAAGCAATTTCACGCAACATGTTGCTCTTCCGATAACTGTTGTGATTCTGTTAACCGATTTTTTGAACCCAGCCGCCAAAAAGGAAATACAGTTTGGCTGAAGGCAAAATATGAGTAAATTGTATTTTCAACAAGTTCCGACTTTAGACGCTTCGGCTTTTAACCTAAAACTGTTTTTGCTTATATGTATCTTAACAATCCGAAGTCAGTTAACATAAATCTAACATTTAATGAAATTCGTGAGAGTTTGAGAGCGAGCTTTGGGTGAGAGCCGAGTCTATTTAAGCAACCCGCAACCATTTATATTTTTAATTCTGACACTCACCCGCGCTGGTTTCGGTTCCCGTTAAATACATTTGATATAATAAAACGAAAACGCTCTCGATATCCGATAAATCGCCGGGATAAAAGAACACAAATATTGTTTGATTTCGAGTAAAGGATTGTGGATATTTTGGTATTTTTGTATGTTTTCCGCCACCCAACTTTCTAACGGCAACGAATTCAGCTGCGCGCTTTTCCAACGGCTTTCTATAGAGCCGCCGTCGCCACCGAATAAACAATAATAATGAAAAGCGCCAGACAATAACCGAAGAGCTAATTGGCCGACCAGTATTAAAGCCACTCGATAATTATAAATTCCTGCTGCCATCGCGTAAATGTTTGCATATCAGCCGACCAAGTATTCGTGTAGTTTAACCAGGGAGCTGCCAAGTAGTGTAATAAAATCAAAATAATTGAAAGCAAAAAATCCTTAATACACACGCACACACAAGCAGACGTCTGGTGGGAGTGTGTGTGAGTGAGTGTAGGTGTGTGTTCATGCGCAGGCGCCAATTCGAGTTTCTGTGCATTAATTGCTTTTTGCGAAGTACTCTGCGTTCAGATCGAAAGGTATGTGGCAACTGGTTTGGATTTCAATTTGCGTTATTTTTGTGGAACACTTATGACAGTTTTTTCGTTTTTGAGGTATATTTCTTTGTCATCAAAGCGAGCCCACCCACGCATGCTGGCCAAAATCCCTTCCCCCCCAACCACCCGCACATTTACTACGCGCGCTTTGCCGGAAAGCTTCGCCTCTGCGGCGGCGTAAGCTTTTTCTTTCATTCAAGTCGCTGCTGCAGTCGTTTGCCGTTATGCTGCGTGAAAGTTAATTCCGTTTACTATCGGCATTCATCAACATCATCATCGTCATCCCCGCACCGCCCACACACTCCCAGTGCCACCCACCACCACCACCCACACTCCGCACCTTGTGCCGGCTTTTTGTGCTAAGCATTTAAGCAGTAATTGACATGCATTCGCCGATATATGTTGACAGATAACCGCTGCTATCATTTTTTGTCGGTGCTTGCCATTCGCCGTTCGCCATTCGCCGTTTGCCCTTTTCCTTTCGCTTTTCCTTGGGAAGTGTGGGCGGGTTTTAAAGGGGGATTATTATTACGACGGGATTAGGTTAGTGCCTGCCACGGAGCCCAATTTTCATCATCTTGAGTGCGGCTTAAAGTGTTGCCATTGCATGCTAAGGACGCAAACCAAAACAGAAATAACAAGCGCAAACTTTTTGGCTCTTGGATTTTATTTGCATACCCATATTTGGGTTGCAAATTTAAATAAAATAAATTAAGTTTCAAGTACGTAAATTTAAGCAAGTTTTAATTGAAAGATTACTTTTTCGGCTTAGTAAGGAGATATGTTGTCTTGAAGTTTACACTACCATAAAATTCATCAAGTTAAAACCACTTGGGGAAACCTTAAAAGTCGCATTACCTCATTATGTAATAAGACGCTGGCAAGCACGTTTTCGATTAGAACTTTGGCATTCTCAAGCATACAGAGCACTTGCGATAAAGATAATAAGTTTGCGCTTTGCTTTAAATAGTGCAGATAACGGATTGATATTTATTTTTAATAGAAACCACATATTAAAGATATATTTTTTGGTTTTAATAGCTGTCACATTTGATGCGTTTCTTAGATTTTGTGTGCTAATGAAATTTGAGTCAAACAAATTGGATTATTTACTTTTTACTTATTATTACTTTTCGGTAGCTTTGAAGAATGTGTGTATTTTAAACACTAAAACACCACAAATTTATGACCAGTGTTGCACTAAATGGACGCTCTTGCCCGGATCACTTTCATATTCAGCTTACAAATTACGTTTCTGGAAGAGTGTAATCCGCTTTTTGGCTTAACATTCTGCTGCCAGCTCTCTAAGAGAAAGAAACCAAATTGCGCTAACTTAATCAGAGCGACGTGCAATTACTTGCATTACAGCATTTCCACCTCGTCCACCTCGCTCTCCTGCCCCCCAGCTCCCCATTTCCTCGGCTGCTTAGGTCCTTTCTTGTTCCATTTGTTTCCGTTACCTTTTGTCATCCATCGCGCCTTTCAACAGCTCACCGAAGCGACTGAGAGGCGACGCGCCGTCGAGGAAATATCGCACTTAAATTGCACTTAATGAAGCTGCATCATCACATTCTGCATTTCATGCAAAGGCATACAGAGAAAATGCACAGAAAAAAGCATAATGCAATTCCACAGGGGACAATGTTCTAATCTAATGGGATAATGTTTTTTGTTAATAACTTCACTTTATGACAACATTTTATAACAAATACATTTATTAAAAAAATACATAAAAAATGTTTGTTTATTGGATTAACCTAGACATTACAAATCGAAATGTCTGATGTCAGTTTTATGATTACAAGCTTTTACAATCAATTGATTTGCCAGAACTCATTAATTAAAGCAATCAGAGTTATTACATGCTAATATCCAATTATATTTAACATATATACCTAATGACAAATCAATAACAGGTATTACAAAAAACGTGTGGGCACTTTTAAATCTGTCATAAATAATAACCAATGTTTTTTTGTGTGAACTTTTTACTTTTTTACGTACAATTATATTTTCCTTTTCGGCTTCATTAATACATTTTCATTTTAAAATTATGCTCTGTGCTGGGAAGGGCTCACTCCATGTCATTTCTTTCCGCACGTGAGGAGATTCCGTACCCGGAGAACAATGGCTCAGCCACTTGCATTCAACAGACAAATGAGTGGAAATTATGCCAAGACACTGGCAATTAATAAGTGGAGAAAAGCAGCGTAAGCCCACCCCCTTCCGTTTGACTTTTGTCTCTGGCCACCTGCTGTTAGCCGCCTTCGGTGATTACAGACACTTCGCACACCTTCCAGCCCCAATCCTCTTCAGCTGCAATCCCCTTCGAGCCGAACGTCTCATTTACATGCTTGCATTGGGGGCGTTGAGTGTTTGCCAACGGCGATACATAATAATCCCCAGCTCGGTCTGCACTGCTCGAAATCGGTTGGATTCACTGGCTCCTGATTCTCGACAGCCGCCTCGGGGCTCCGAAATAATGATTGTGCTGTGTGTCTTGATTTGATTTTAATGGGGTCCCACAACGACAGCTGTGATTGATTGAATAATTGCTTGTACTTTGTTTGGAAGTCTAGTAAAGACTTATATTTGCATACTATATTTTATTTAAGACGAACAAGATTTTGTTGGAGTTACATAGAGTTAAAACCGCGACATGCTTGATTAACCGATTAAAATGATGCGTAATTAACGCCTTTGTTTCTCCTGTCGAGTGAAAAAAAACTTATATCTATCTAACTATGTAGGTATCCACAATACACTATTATTATAATTGTAGAGACTTGTATTAAATAATTTTGCAGTGAACATGGTAGCCCATTATATCTTTGCCAAATCATCTCATGTTGATTTGGTGACCACTTTTCCTGGTGCAGAAATTGCCAACCCAGGCCGACCACTTCTTGGCCATTGTTTGCCAGTCCGTCATAGAATGTCAACTAATATACATAAGCAGGCTTGCAAGTGGTTCTGAGATTGGAATTGGGCAAACCCCAGAACTGTGGCCATAACACCCACACCTCCCCTTGAAAGCCAATATACACGCAACCTCATAGACATAAGCCTCTCGAACCCACACACGACAATCAATATAAACGCATTTTCATAATTAATCAATGCTGAATAATTTGTCAGACAGAGTCAGGTTATGTGTGACACCCTGGGCGGTGAGGGGAGAGGGACCAGTGGGCGGGTGTGCTAATAAGCAAATCTCCGAGGTTTGTTTTGGCTTTTATCGGTCGCAGCGGCGGCTTTGCGGCGAGCACATGAAAAATCTATCGGATTGCCACACACACCAGGCCACACATGAATTGGCATACCGACAGCAGGAGAGCAAGCCAACTGTGAAAGCCGCGTTTACACTAGCCACCAGCCAGCGATAGTAACCCGTTAAAAATAGATGCCAGTTTGAGGTTTAGAAGTAAACCGAACCATTAAATGTCGAAAGTGGATGTTTAGCAAAAACAGTAAGGGCAAAGTTTTCACTGTTGTTGGTACTTCAATTTTACCCCAAAACGTTAGAGAGCTATTATTGGAAATATTGCTAAAGTAAAGGGAGTAACATTAAAATGCAGGAATATACATTTTATATTTAGCTCTTGGTTGCCCACATCTGTGTCTAAATATACTTGTCCTTTCACCATAATGTTGCAATTGTTTAATTTGCTTACTTGTGGTTTCATTCGAAACAATAAAGTCATTATTTTTTCCTGGTGACTAATATCAACATTATTATGCTTTTGTTCTGAATAATTTTTTTATAAAAATAATTACGAAGCAAAATAATAATCATGAAGCCCAATTGAAATGGCCGTCCTTAGCTGACTAGTGTAATCGCGGCTCTAACAAGCTCATAAGGTTATTTCACTTTCAGATGAGTTCTCACATTACAGAAATAACTAGCAACAATGGAAAAGTCGGGCAACTAGATGACTGAACCAACTGGGCAGCATCCCCGGGAACGCCTCCCCTTTCCAGCCCACAATTCCAGGGCTGCGGCTCTTTGTGTGTGCGGCGTGTTCTGGGTATTATGTGTATTTAAAGATCATTAGTGCGCAATTTATATGTAGATATCCGGAATATACGTACGTAAATGCGTATCGATTTCCACCAGTTGAGCGGGTGAGGGCTTAATGCCGGGCCAACGTGTGGCGGCATTGTTAAGAATGATTAAGAGGCTTCGATGGCATCAGCGGCCAGGAGGTCGGGCAGGTCGGGCAGGGCGGGCAGGGCGGGCAGGTCGAGGGGTGGGTGCAAGTGGGCCGAGGCTCAAAGGCGGTGTCAAGGCCAAGCGTCAAGACATGTGTTCCCGGTGGGGTTCTGCTTTTGCTTCTGGTTCTGGTTATGGTTCTACCTTAATCGAAGCTAAGCCGGATGTGGGGCCAAATGAGAAAAAAACGAGAGTGGCGGAAAATGGGACTTTGCTTGCGTCGATGAATTGGCTTAAACGAAGTTAAATAACCTTGAGAAAGGGCTTATGTAGAGTGATTTCTGGTGTGTACCTAGAATTTTATTTTTGTACCTTCTCCAGGTGCAATTCTCTGTTCTACAAGTGGAACATTAAGTGGAAATAGGAATACCTTTCCTTGGCTACGGAATTGTTTTTGGAAACGTTTAGAGGCCATCCTTTACTCCTCTTGACACAATGCCTTGAAATTGATTTGCCCATTAACATTAAACGATTTTCACCTGGGGTTTTCATAGGACCGCCTCTATTTTCCCTCGCGGCCCAAAGTATGCAATAAAAAATCGCTCCGCAGTTAAAACGACCATTCAGCCTGGCCCTTTTCACCGGCATCCATCCGCAATATATCGTTGTCAATTTCGCCGATAACGATCAAGATTCCATTAAACGTATAAGAGACTTTTCCGCCATCAACTGGCGCAGCATTTTTGCATACATTTCCATTAAAATGCAGGAACCTGGACTGGTTCAGATAAAGAGAATTAAATGCAGGGCGGGTGGGGCGTGGCGTGGCGTTGCGGGGCGGGGCGGGAAAGGTTGCGGATTGAATTAATGTGGGGAAACAATGCGAGGCCGCCAGTTGTTGCCACTCGCTCTAATGAAGCAACATTCGCAGGTCCTCACAGATACGCACCCACACATCCGCAGAGCGGAGCAAATAGCGCGCATTCCATGGAGCTTCTGCGGCAGCAAAAAGAAGCCAGCGCCAGCCATAAATATTTTTCGAAATAAATTCTCGTTTACAAATTATGATTTTATGACTTTTTGATGGCAACGCCACAAGCCCCACACTTACGCAATTTCCGCACACACAAACACACACACACGCGGGGTAATATATTTCCGCTAGGCGAATTGTAGAAGGGGGAGAGGGGGAGGGCGGCTCCAAGGAAAAACGCTTTACGTATTTATAGCAATTTCACATTGGGCTGCTGCTACTGCTACTGCTTTATATATCGATACAAAGGACCTCCTTTTTCGCCCATCAGCGAGTTTGCATTAAAAAAATTGGCACAAAAAACAAAGCGAAAAAATCTGACAAAAAGGCGGACCTTAAAGCGGCTCCGAAAAAAGTTATTACACGAAAGCGCGAAAAAATTCTGTTCGAGTTGAATGCAACTTGCATGTGATTGTATGTACTTGTGTATGTATGGGTGCAGCAGCTGCTGCCACTTCCCAGCATTTGTGTGCCATTTTTTGCCCGATTCTCGCGCTGCCTACTTTTGGGCGCATAATTTATGACCGCCCGGCATTAAATTAGCCTGTGCGCAGCATGAAAAACGGCAGAAACGCTGGCGACAAGCGACGTCCGGCGCTTATTAGGCGATGACATGGAGGGGGTGGGGGTGGGGGTGTTCCGGGGGCCGCCAATTGCCAGGGTGTTCCAAAGGGGGCGTGACACACATACCCACAAACAGTCGAAATCTCCTTCGGCCAACTCAGCGGGCCGCTACCAACATTCGCATTTATTTAAGGAGAGTTTTTTGATGATTTGGCGCATTCTATAGAGGCTTTCACAACGGCGATTTTCGCAATTTATCAAATATTTATTTTTCATTTACCTCTATAGGTTTTCAGCAGAGTGCAAATAAATTAAGCACGAAATGCAATTGAACTTTGCCTCCGAATTTTATTCGATTCATTTTGTTGCAATGTGAAACAGAGAACAATGAAAAGATTGCCGATCGTTTATTTACTGGGAAATAAATGCAAGCGAATAATTTGGCTACTTTGATTAAGGTATTTTTTGTTTTTTTTTTCTTATAGCATTTGAATAAAATGATTTCATTTCTCGTTTTTTTTTTTATTTTTTAATATTGTATTTTGCAAAAAATATGAAAAACTATTTTCATATGAAACTACATTGCCGTATACACAATTTCTCATATAAATATAAAATAAATGTTGTGTGGCTATAAAATTTTCAGTGAATATAAAAATATTATATACAATATGTATTGTGTATTGTTGTAGATTCACGCAGACTTTTAAGGCGGTAAAAATAGTTTAAAATGGAGTTGAGTATTAAGATTCGCTATGTATACTGACATGAAATGCAACATTTAACCCAATTTGAAGAGCTTTCCCAGATCCACCAGGCAGCCCTCGCTGTTCGTCCTTAAATGTGTGTGCCGTGGGTTGTTTGGGTGTGTTTACTTACAATTATGAGCGTGTTGATGACAACGTTGCCAGCGCCTTCGTCCTTCGTCTCAAGCAGCCACACACTTGGAAAAGTTTTTTATAAAATTCTCCAAGTCTTGGGAGGGCCTTGAGCTGCGGCATTGCAATAATAATTACAAATGTTGCACAATAAATTGCAAAGTAAACAGACTTGGTGACGGCAGCAACATGGGTGAATTGGAAGACGCAGAGCAAAGGGAAAAGGGAAAAGGCAGCGGCAAAATTACTTCCTGCTGAATCGCAGCGGAAATGTACATACAAATGGCACTCACACAGACGCAATCACAGTCCCAGGAACAGGATGTGTCTGACTGGAGCAGTCCTTTTCCGGTTGAGAGCGTGAGCACGAAATCGAATTGGATCCCCGCTCCGCCTCCCTGGCAGACGGGAAGGAACGAACCCCTTTGGTCCTCGTGTCACGACGGCGTCTCTGGCAGGAGTCCTGCTCCTCGGAGAGTGGCAACTTGTCAAATAGAAAATCATAGAAAAAGTCCCGCGGCGGCGACAAGATGCGTAATTGCAGAGCTCCGAGCGGAGAACTGTTGCACTGCGGCTGCCGAGGATGCGAGAGGATCTGTGGGGAAGGATGTGGCCGGATGTGGAGGGAAGTGTGCCCCAAATGCCACGGCGTTTTGCATGTCGCCACCTCTGCTCCTTCCCCAGCACTCCTCCTTGACTTGCCGGAGAATGCAATAAATCCTGGACTGGCAAAACAATGACAAATGTCCTCTCTTCCGCTACGCATTTCTGCCTCCGTGTGTGTCATCCGCATGCCGGACATTTAATTTGATATCCGCCTATTGCCGGCAATTCTCTCGGTCCGTGTCATCTGCATGTCTAACTGGAGCTTCTATTGAGACTCCATTGCGGATCGTTGGCAGCCAAATTGTGATTTTATCTTAATGGCCCAACTGGTTGCGGAAAGAGCTCTTCTCATTTGCAACACACTTGCTGGGCTATTTCCATTGCATTCGTTCGAATGCCCGTGTAAAAAGTGAGTCCCTTATCTTGCCAATTTGTGTTACATGACTCGGCATCCGCTCGCCTGTCCAATTGTTAATTACGGCTCAAATACCAATAAATTTGGCTAAGCCTTTGTTTATCGGACTCGGTGAATTAATAAATTACAAAGCGGGCAAGGAAAGATTTTGTTGCTGGGAAATATTACATTTTGCGGATGCAAACGTTATCAATGCGATGCAATTTTACAGAACAAATGAACTGTCACTGAAATGTTTACTTGATCTAGGCAATGATAAACATTTGGTACTTTAAAAATGTGGAAATTGAGCGAACATAAGTTATTTTCAATGTATATTTATGACTCTATTTAAATAAACTTTAAGGGATTAAAATCCATATTGTGTTCTCTATCCATTCAGCCTTCGCTGGCGTTGGCCATGTAGAACCACATATCAGCAGCGAGCAAGCGAAGTCAGAGAGGAATCATGGTGGAATCCTCGAGCCTGGGGAGGACCCCTCCTGCGGCCCAGCAGCCCATTCCGCAGCAGCACTCCCCCTCGCCCTCGGGTCTGCGGTGTGGCAACATGGAGACGCGGGTGCGCGGCGCCTGGTATCGCGTCCTCGTCACCCTGGAAACGGACTTCCTGGCCGTCAGTCTGGACGAATCCTGCGAGGCGGCTCAGCCATCCAACGATGGACAATCTACCACCCTGAACGGAACTTTGGGGTGAGTTGCACCAAAAATTATTGATATTTATTTTGGAGCAGGTTTTTCCCATTAAATTACTACATACTTGCAAATTTTTTCCATTTAATTTTTTTTTATTTAAATTGATAAATATGCATGATGTTTACCATCCATTTTCTCTCGCTTTACACAAGTTTTGAGCAATTAGTTTATGATCTAACAATAACTACCACTTTCTATCGACTGTTTTGGACACCAAATAAATAGCAAATAGTAGAATTTTAGAAAACACTTCGTAGAATGGATTTTAGTGATATAAAAAGAGGATTAATATACATATTCATTCAGCACGTGCAATAGGATATTTCTGCCATTTACCTGGTTGCCTTTTATCGAGTTAATATTTGTAAACTAGCTGTTAGACAACGGGCAGTAAAATAAATGCCTTTAAAATAAATAAATATACTTATGGAAGTGAACGCACCTGAAACTTTAGATGGTTCTGTTAATTCGCGACTAAAAACAGTTATAAATGTATAATTAAAAACCCTATTTTTTTCGTCCTCAGGAGCAACCACAGTGGCGGAGGAGGCGGAGGCGCCGGCGGAGGAGGCTCTGGTTCGGGAGGAGCTGGCCAAAACGGGACCCTGCCCAGCTCCGCCTCGCTGCAGGGGATGAACATCCAGGACACCGAGCTGGACGGATCGGGCAGCAACGACAACGGGGAGCGCGATCCCTGCCTGAACAACAACAACAACGCCGGCGACGGGGGCGGCATGGATATGTGCGACGTACCTGACCACGTGGCCAACCAGAAGCGGCACGTGCGGATCATCAAGTCGGACAACAACGGCCTGGGCATCTCGATCAAGGGCGGCCGCGAGAACCGCATGCCCATCCTCATCTCGAAGATCTTCCGGGGCATGGCCGCCGACCAGGCCAAGGGGCTCTACGTGGGCGACGCCATCCTGACCGTCAACGGGGAGGAGCTGCGGGACGCCACCCACGACGAGGCGGTGCGGGCCCTCAAGCGCTCCGGTCGAGTGGTCGACCTGGAAGGTGAGTGCCCCCCGAACGTACATCTGCTGCCTCCTCGTCGGAATGTCAAATTGTTATTTGCGTAAAACATTTCGCTCACACGGAATGGGGAAGGGTGGGGGAAGGGGAGGGGAAGGGGAAAGGGTGTGGGGTGCCGGAAAAAGGGGGGAGCTTAAAAAACGCGAGTCAAACTAACAAGTAAACTATGAGTACCATCGCGAACAGTTGGCCACAGTGGGATTCGTTTGGGGAAACCCGCCTCAAAAAATAATGAAATTTGTAAATACCAGTTCAATGTTTTGAACCCACTTCATTTTTAATCTCCTAAAAGTGTTTGTGTACCATGATGGAGCTGATATTATTTCCAAATTACTATTGTATGTATTGGATTTTAGCCCATTTTTGTATTGAAAACAGTAATCTCTTCCCCAAATGGGAAATCACAGAAATTGTGATTTTAAAACTTTAGGGAAACAGTAAAGTTTTAATCGTAATCCCCAACTAACTCGCTAATATCCATCCCGAAATTGAGATCCCCTCTTAGCAACAATAAATTCGGGGCATTTTTATCTGCTGCTTGTTTTTGTGATAAATTGTGCCTTTGATTCCCCCTCCCCCTCCTTCTCCATCTCCATCGCCCCTCCCCGCCCCCATAACTGCACAGATAATCTTTTACAAACTTGTTCAACCGTGATTAATTGACCGACAGTGGGGATTCTTTTTTGTGCCGTTGTTGGGCCATCCGTCCCATGGTGGAGTAGCGAGCTGGAAAGGCGGAACAGAGGGTTTTAGTGCAAATACATACGTGGGATTACTCAGCAAAACATGCGAGTTACTGCCGCAGCCAGTGCGACTGCCACTGCCACTGCTACTGCCACTGCCACTGCTACTGGTATTGCCACTGTTGCAGCTGGGTCCTGTTGTAAATCCCCCAGCTTCCAGCCCCGCTATCCGGAGCTCCCCCCTTGGCCATGTTGACTGTTAGCTGTTGACTGCCGTTAGTTGCGCTGGTTTGTTGGCTGGTTGGTTGGCTGGTTGGTTGGTTGGTTCGTCGGTTGGTTCGTTGCCTGGTTTGTTTGCCCGGCTTGGCAATGAGTAATGAGAAAAGTTTTCTTTCCATTTGATCAAATGGCCCAAAAATACATAGTCGCTCCTTGCGGGTGGTGTCTCCACCCAGTCGAGCGTCGAGTGGCAGAGAGCGAAAACGGTTCAGGTTGTGGAAGGCCGGGATGCTGGATGCTGGATGCTGGATGCCTCGCTGCTACGCACTGCATTCTCCACTGTCTGAGTGGCTGACAAGCTGGAGCTGGGAAACATAAACAAGGCAAGGGTTAAAGGTGACGAAAACGGTTTGCTTCGGATGGAGCAGGAAAATAATTATCGGGCTTTGCCAAGCTGTCAGGGGAGTCCTTCGGGGAAGACAAGCTGAACGGTAGCAATTTACACATTCATCTGAAATCTATTTATTATAATTTGCATCGTTTTACGAGGGACAATGTTCTTTTCTGCTCACAACTAATATTAAAGACAAATCTGTTCTGAAGGACACTCAGAACCTACCCAATAATTCGCATACCATTTATGCTCGAACTCTTGTTCGGTTCATTGAATACCAGTTATCTGCAAATGTTCTGGCACCAAAGCAACTCACAAGGCACTTTAATACACGACTCCCAGGACTGATCTAATAACAAGCCAAGTGCATAATCACACCAGCCCATCATCGTCGTAATCATAATCACAGACACAGACACAGACTCGCTGAGAGGACAATGCCTAATCAAAATGGTCGGGCAAAGTCGGAGCCTCGTTTCCTGTTCATCTCCATTCAGCTCTGTTTTGCTTCGCTTTGCCCGACTCCTCCAACAAAACACAATAAACAATAGTAAGCATCAATTAGGCGATGTATGGGTGGGATGTCCTTGCTTACACACACACACATACACACTCTATCGCACAAAGCGTAGCACCCCAGACACACCCACTTGTGCATCCTGTGGGCGTGACCCAATCACAAGCCAAACCATTTGGCATAAACAATGCAATGAACCGTGCACGACAATTTTGCTGAAACAACTTCCTCTGCAAAGCGATGGGATTGGGATTGGGATTGGAGTTGGATAAGGAGCGGGAGTGGGGAGTCCTTCTGACACAGCCAATTCCATTTCCTCGACACAAACATTTCCTGGCCAACAGCTGCTCCAGCTAGGCAAACACTTTAATTATAATGCACTTATGCCAGGTTGATATTTGGGGAATTGACTACCTAAGGATTATGTTTAAATTCGTAAAGACTAAGAATACGAATTCCAAAACAGAAACCAATCGAGTGGAAGTAGGTGCGTAAGAAAGTCAGAAGCCTTAAATAGTTCCAAAATACAAACTATAAGGCTGAAGATTAATTTGACTTTCATTTATATGTTTCACTTTCGTTTACCCATTTTAAAAAACCAGGCTCTAACCTTTTCCAAATAATTCCCCAGTAGTGAAGTAAGCTTCAGAAAGAGTACGTATATTTTCGTTCAAGAAATCCCCGGTTGAAGTCAGACAGTTGTAGGATCCCTAGATCCTCCTGAGGCGCTCGCTCCTCAGGCGCTGACGTGGCTGCTCGACGGCCAGGACGAGGCGACCGAACTGCGCTCCCCTGGCGCCGAGGGGCAGGAGGATTAGGCGACCGCTAGCCAGCTCGTTGGCCAGCGCCTCCTCCTCTTCCACGAGTTCCACCTGCGACTCCTCGGCGTCCAACTCGTTCTGGGGCTCGCCCAGCTCGGGCACTCCGTAGGTGGTGGCCGGGGGGCCGTAGGTCTCTGCGGGGGCAACGGCCTTGGCCTCCGGAATCACCTCCGGCTCGCTGTCCTCCGGCTCCGCTTGGCCCAGGGCAGGGACATCAGCAACAGGCTGCTCGCCGCCAGCAGCCAAAGCGCTGTCGGCGGCAAAGTCCTCGACGGCATCCAGCGAGGGTGGCTGAAAGTCACGGGCGGGCTCCTGGGCCACCACCTCCACGGTGTCCTGGGCATCCTGGGGCTCCTGCTCCGCGGGCACTCCGTATGTGTTGGCCGGGATGCGGACGGACACCTCCAGGTCCGCCTCGGTTTCCGTCTCCTCTTGCGGCTGCTGCTGCTCGGTGGTGCTCAGGGGCTCGGTGTTCTCCAGCGTCTCCACTTCGGTGGGGGTCGCGGTGCTGGTGGTGGTGGTCAGGGGCTCCGTCTCGAGCTTGGGCTGCTGCTCGGGCTCGCCGGGCAGGTTGAAGGGGGATCCTGGGCCGGAAGCCGGCCGCGGGGTACGGGGTGGAGGAGTACTCCACCTGGCGCTGGCTCTTCACCCGGCGCTGCGGCATGGCGGACACGGAGGAGATCGCCAGGAGGCACATGGCCAGGATGAGGATGGGTGGGCTCTGCATGTTGCTGGTTGCCGGACGAGTGCTAACGGTTTGTGCCGGCTGCTGTGGGTGCCGCGCTATTTATGCGCACTGCGCCTCCGATTCTCCCATCAGAATTCAGCAACGCAACGGTCGCAAGGTCGCCTTCGCCTGGGGTTATGATAACTCACTCGATCCCAGTGCGAATCCGAATCCGAAACTGTATGTGAATCCGAAACCGTTTGCGACAACTGACAATATTCGCGCATTTAAAAACGTATCGTGGCCCATCAAAGCAGCCATCAAGCTCAATGTTAATGTGGCTTTAATATCAACAACCGCCCATCCCCATCCCCATCCCGCAAAACTCCGGTTCCATCTCGGCGAAGCCCTCCAAGACTCACGTCATCGTCGCCAACGTGCCTCGCATGCCACGCAGCCGAGAGCCAGGCTGACTCGCATTTAATTTTGGGCCAGCACATGTCCATGTCGAGCTGCTGCTGATCCATTTCGCCGCAATTTCTGGGCCAAAATATGTTATTGCGAGCCAATTACGGCGGCAAAACTATTTTCGGGGAATTTCGGAGCAGCTACGAAACTTTTGTACTCTTCTGCTTGCCATTTTGTGGCAAATTCAATTTGTGAACTTTTTGACATCTTAGAAATTAAAGGGCTTGAAAGTGCAAACAAACAACAAGTGAACCAATCTCGTATTCTATCAAAAGGAGAATTCCTTTTCTTCCCATTTCGAGAAGTGCATTCTGTTCCTAACCATATATAAATTGTGGTTTAAAATCTTAATATAAAGGAATTCGTTGGGGAGAAGTTAAAGGTTATTAAATTACATACTTTTAATATTTAAAAGCTTTTAAAACTTTGCTTTGCTTGTAAACTGCAATGAGTATTCCCCGCCGTCTTTCAATTTATTGAAGCTCATTTCAATTTATAAATTCACTTATCCGCACATCCCTCTTCATAAACCAATCCAATCAATTAGCCAATTTACCCCGTTCCGCAATCCGCAGCCCAGTTTGTTATTGAGTGAGCATTTCGATTTCGGCTTTTGGTTTGCGGTCGCTTTCATAATTTCAACGGTGTGTTCATTAAATTAAAGTGGCCCAGATCTATGGGCACGCAAAGTGGCGCAAATGTAATCACAATTTCGAGAGCCTTTGGCCATGAATGGGCGGCGACATGCTTAACAGCTCAGAACTATCCTGCCCGGCGACTCCGCTCCCAACTCCAGCTCCCAGCTCCCAGCTCCCGATTCGAACTTCAATTTACAAGTTGGCCAAGTTGTTTGCCAAGCTCCGCCGGCCGTTGTGCGCACAACTTTGGCCCGAAGTATTTGCGCGCAGGCAGCCGTCTCATTGTAATTTAAATAAGCCAGGGGTGCGGGAAGCCAGCGGGTCGAACGGGGCTCTGCAACTGGATTCCAGCTCCGACTGCCAAATGTCAGCGACAGATTCCCGAGATGGCGACGGAGGCGACGACAGTTGGCTTTGCCCGCCTCCCAGAAGTCCATTAGCAATGGTTTTTACAGTTTGGCACACATTTGTGGAGCCACGGACCAGGCCAGCCCAGCCCAGCGACCCCCTTAAGTCCCGCCGACCCACCAGCACCAGCACCACCCAAGTGGCCCCACTTAACCAACCTGCCCACTTCCTCCCCAGGAACGCGTGAGATTTTACTCGCAAAAGTTTGCGCAAAGTTTGTTTTAACGCACGATTTGCCGAATTCCGAATACCGCCTGCTGTTGATATCATATTCCGACCGGCCACGCCCACAATACGGCCTGCCCCCTTGATTTATGCTCCGGGGTGGCAGCAGTGCCGGATTTTCAGGATTTCCTTTGTCGGCAAAGGTGTAAAAAAGTTTTTTGGCCCGGCTCTGAATTAAGTGGGGTAACGTGGGCGCCCAAAAGGCGGGAGACCGGAGCCAAATGAATGCGTTTTAAGTAATAATATTGTCGTAAAGATGATCTCACATAGCTGTGTAAAACGAAATGCAAGGGGCTTAGGCAAAATAAAATAAAATGAGCACTTTAACTTTACTTCTCAGTGAAAAGAGGTTTCCAGCGACCTTGGGGAATCAATTGATTTAAATTCATATTTAGGGGAATCTCAAAAATGCCTTAATACCGTCTGAAGCCAAGTTCTTCATTTCGTCTGTGCCAGCATTCAAGAAATTCTCTTAAAAAACTATTGATTCCCAACAGTATTCGTTCAAAGCTCATAACTCACTTAAAAGGCATAAATAATAAAAAGGATAATGAAATTACATGTTTACTTTTAGGTTGCAGAGATTTCGTTTAGTTATTTGTAGAAATGCAACACATAAATATACAAGTTGTAAAGGGTTACATTGCTATATTCAGCATTTATTTAACCCGCATGCTAGAGGGACTGGGCAAATCCTTGACTTTAATCTTCAGTGGATTGTTTGCAATTCCATATTTATTTGAAAAATGTAAGCGCAAAATATTCATACTTAAGCAGCCAACAATTGTGGCCTGCGGTGGTTTTAGCCAACTTTTCCATAACTTGTTTGTTTTTCTGCAATGGTTTTTAGCACAAACACACACTCCCACGGAGCGGCCAACTTTATTTACACTTAAATGCAAAAATTTGCTCAACTTATTACCGTTGTTATTGTTGTTTTTGCTGTTGCATCTAAACTTTTGCCGCTGCCAGTTGCGTTTCTCGTTCCTCGTTCCTCGTTTGTCGTTTTTGGCTTAGCTGGCTCCGCAGTCCACTCCGAAATAACCCAACCGCCTGAACCCGAACCCAGAGCCAAACTGAAACCCAATCCCCCTTCCTCGAAAGCTTCATCACACTTTGCGCCTGCCGCCATGCAGCATTTTTTATTCCAGTTGCTCCGCTTGTTTGGCTGTTTGTTTGTCGTCGGTTGCATATTTGTGAATGCAAATGTTTGCGGAGCTCCAGAAGGTGGTGGGGAAGGGGGAGAGTCGGAGTGTCCTGGCGGCTTCCACCTTGCAGTGCACGTAAATGCCGAGCAATTAGCAGGCGGGTGGATATAGCCCATCCGCCGTGTGGCCGTCCGCTCTAATTAGTTGAGCTAAACACACGAATTGAGTCGGACAAACCGCCGCCAACCGTCGGCCGATGGCACTAAGTGTGAAAATTGAATTTCCAAATCACTCGAACGGCAAACGACAACGGCAACAACTACAACAACATCAGCGACAACTAACAACTACAACAACAACAACAACAACAGGAACGTCAAACGACAACGGCAACAGCAAACGGAAATTGTGCAAATGTTGTGGGCGGAATTCTGAGCATATCAAGTGGGCTGGGCTTCGTCTGGGATTGGGAGTTGGAGTGGGATTCGCCAGCTAGATATGCGACTCGGATGGGGGACCTGGAAAGTTCCCCTTTCCCCAGGAGGCAGAGCACCTGGCATCGTCAGCCCCATTTGCATAGTAGTTGCACAGTGGATTACCGGGATATCTATGCTAATAGAAAAATCGTTTACGAAATGGCTAAAGTTGTAATCTAGTTAGACTAATATCAAGTACACGCATGGCACTCGGGCAGGGTGAGATTGAAAAATAAGTGAGTTGATTTGCAAATCAACATGTTTGCAAATATGATATTTGCAGTCTGTGTAAACTTTGCCATAATGGATCCGGAAAAGTTTTACATACGTTAAGCCTTAATTGAGAAGCAAACTAATTACTTTGGCTGGTCATCTAAGAAGTGGCAAAGTCATTGTCGTTTCGGTAAAACCATATCTTTATGAATAAGAGGAATCCAGTAATTAAAAGTCCCTAAACTGAGTATAGAATTTTAGAAAGATAAATGAAAGATGGTCGTGCATTTTTGACGGCATTTAAAATAGTTCGTCTTTGATTAACATGATACTTAAAACTAAAAAATGTAACTTTAAAATTAACATTAAAATAAGATATTTTTGACTTGGAAATGTTTAGAATCTCAAGTTGTGTGACTCAATTATTATTTGTACTAAACTCATAACTTTGAGCCCACTGTACCTAAGAGCTTACCGCTTCTCGGGGGACTGTGTTTGTGCAAATCGAATAAAAATGGAGCGGAAACTCTAATGAATTTATGCCGCAGAGTTTGCCAAGACTGCCGCAGCAACGTCGGCTTTGACGAAGGAGGCTCCAACTCCGAGTGGTTGCATGCTGTTTGTGCTGCGTTGGCGAGTGTTTCGCTGATGCCATTCCCTCGTTCCCCCCGCATCCATATTCATGCGATATCGGGCGATTTGCACTGATGGTTATATATCTTCTCGGCTTCCGTCTCTGTGCCTTGCAGTGAAATTCCTACGCGAAGTGACGCCCTACTTTCGGAAGGCGAGCATCATCTCGGAAGTTGGCTGGGAGCTCCAGCGGGCCTTCCTCTGTCCGCTGGGACCGGGCGTCCCCACCTCGCCGCCCGCCCCCAAGACGACACCCCGGGCGGATACGCGATATATACCGCTGCAGCTGACGCATCTGGCCAGGAATCTCAAGTACATCGATCCGGGTGAGTTATTCCATTCCAAATGTGGTTCAAATAAATATGGAAATGCATTTAAGTTGATTTGAAAAAGTAAAAGTGAAAGGATCACGACTTTCCTGAACTCAAATTTTATAGTCTGTGATAAATATTTAGACACTTTAAGTACATATCTATCTCGATCCCCCAGAGAACCGGTGCTTTGAACTCCACTCACCAGACGGAGTGCACTCCTGCATCCTGCGGGCAGCGGACTCCGCGGAGGCCCTCGTCTGGTTCAATGCCCTCCACTCGGCGATGGGCAGCAGCACGCAGCGGGCGCTGGCGGAGGCCAACCGGGCGCTGACCAACCTCATCGGCGAGCTGAAGCACATCGGCTGGCTGAGCAAGCGGATGAGCGGCGGGGGCGGCGGCGGAAGCTCCGGGAGCGCTGGGGGCGGAGCGGCCAGCGGGGGGCAGCGGTACCTCGAACAGCGGCGTAGCTGGCGAGCTGGTAAGTGTAAGTTCACCCAACTTCTCCCCACGGCTCAAACTAAATTTTTGTAGTTAAGTGTTAAAAATTAAACAATTTTTACCCAAAAATTAAAGCATTCTTAAATGTGTTAAACAAAACTACCTTTACCTTATGGTTATTGGTCCTAAACAAATTTTAGAAACATTGTGCAATTTTTTTAATGTGATACATGTATCTCATATACATATATCTTGTTATAAATAAGAAGATTTTAATTTTGATTTGAGCAAACAAGTTTTCCTTGTCTAATAACAAACTTCAATCATCGCCACTGATAAGAACTTTTATTAAAAAAGTGTACAAATTTTAATTTATCCTCAATGTCTTAATTGTTCTCAAGTTATACTTTTTGTTTTGGATAACAGTTTGTAACAGGGGGAGATTAAATGTAACACAATAACTAAATCAAATCATAAGCTTACCCGATTTTTTTGTTGTTTGTAACTCTATAGTCCAATGTAGAGACTAGAATTCAAATATTCCTCTCTGATCCACAGCCCAGCGGTCGATCCAGTTCGGAGAGCTCGGACGAGAGCGACAAGTGGCTGCCCATTTTCGTGGCGGTGACGGAGCGCGAGTTCCGGATATACGAGAGTGCTCCGTGGTCGGTGGAGGCGTGGAGTCGTCCGCTGGAGATCTACGCGCTGGCCACGACGCGACTGGCGGGCGCGGGCAACAACTCCTCGCTGAACGTGAGCAGATAACTGGCACGCGAAGGGGCAACTAATCCAGAGTCTTATACCCTCAGGGCCAGCAGACCACGGTGTTCTGCGTCCGGTGCGGAACCGCCCGCGGGGTGCTCGTCTACTGGCTGCGCTCCGAGACGCACCGGGACATGGCCGCCTGGGCCAGGTCGCTCGTCCAGGGCTCCCACCAGGCGGTGAACTACCAGAGGGAGTTCTCCTTCCGCTGCCTCTTCCAGGGGCGGCAGTGTCAATTGGTTGTGCACATAAACCGCGGCTTCTTCTTGTACGACTGCGGCGGGTTCGCTCCGACCACTCCCACGGTGGCCACCTCCAAGACGCAGCTCTGGCAGTTCGCCTTCGACAAGCTGAAGGGCTCCGCGGACGACGGCACCAGGATGCTCTACCTGGACTTTGGCGAGGATGGGGAGATCGTAAGTCCCGAAACTGCAGTGAGTTACTCACTTGAATCTAAACTTGGTGACTCCTTGCAGGAACTGGACATGGAGTGCTGTCCCAAGCCTGTGGTCTTCGTCGTGCACAACTGCCTGTCGGCCAAAGTTCATAATATTGCCTAGGACGAGGTTGAGTTGGAGGGAACAATCCAATAGCTGTTGATCCAATTTATTTAATTATTAGGCTGTCCAGATCTGAATGGTTGGGCCGAAAGTATTATTTATTATTGTGTTCTCAGACTCTTAAATGTTGTTTTCAGCTACTGGTCGTCGCTAAAAAGCAGTCATACGTGCAATATTTTATTAACTCTGTCAATTAGCCCAGATTTAATCAAGAAAATTGAACTAAACGCTGGTTTTTGCATTAAAAATATTGATTTTAAAGCCCAATGTTGGAAGAGCCTAAAAGTCGACCACAAAGCATGTTCGGTTCATTTAAAGTTTCAGCTTTTGTTTCGCCTAAGATATTAACAATTAAACGTAAGTCCTACCAAATTTTGACTTAGTTAATTTAGCAAGAAGGGATTAGATAGTGGTAGATGAGTGAGCATTCCGCGCTTCCTGATGGCTATGGAAATGGATTAGTTGGATAGGTTTAGCTGGAAGGTGGAGGCAGAAAACAAAGGTAGATTTTTGAAAACAAAACACGAAGCACAAACCAAAAACCGAAAATAATGAAAAGTAAGATACCACAGAACAACTTTATTTACCTTGTAAGTAGGCGTAAATTCATTTTATACGTGTGTCATCTACACAGGTTACCATCTAAAGTGAAATCGAGAAAACGAAATCGAACTCTATGAACTCCACAACATTTGCATAAACGTTGAACAATAATTATCGTAATTGTACTTAACTAATTGTATCTTGAATCTTGTATCTAAACGAAGCACACATATCTCGATGCCCACTCAGTGGCATCGATACCGATCGACGATCGTGGAGTAGGCTCCAAACTAAACTATACATCAAATCATATGGTTACCTAAACGATACAAGTATATCCAGGCCATTTCGCAATTTCTCCCCACTCTTCATGTACAAGCCATCGATCATATGCAATTATTATACATTTATATCTACTTATAACATGGACACATACTCATTTTATGAAATTAGAAATTTCGTTATAGACAAAAACCACACAAAATGAAGAACAACAAAAGTAATGCAAGTAATGACAAAAATCAATAAGAAAATAACAAAGCATAAGACGTACAATATTTTTAACGTAAGTAGTGTTGAATCTTCGATAATAAACTTATATATATAATACTATACCATCAATCAGGGCAGTTTTGTGTTTTAATTTGGTTTCTTGTGGCATAAACAATCCTTCACTATGGTAAGAAATTGTTTTAATACCCAAATCATGGGCTCATTCTTTACCCCTTGTAGCTATAATCTGAGAGATAAAAACCTAACTTTATTTCTTTCTTAAATTCTTTTGTACAATATTTTTATGGAATTTAAAAGCGTATTTTTATCATTATAAAGCATACTTTTCCACATTAGCAAACTCTTAACCCCTTTTTGAAACCAAAGGATGCTAAAGGACACTAGAACAATCACGAAAAAGCAAGCTATTATATTTACCTGTCTTTGCCAAGAAGCAACCACAGAATTCAAATTAAACAACGCACAAATGCAATTACTCCAAGTTAACCCTTGAACGACTGTTGTGCATTTCATGCCTGCAAATATTTCTCTGGGTCAGAAGGCAATCAATGAACTTGTAGCCTGTTGCTATTGTTGTTGCCCCCAAGACACATTTATTTCCTGTGGGTATGTGTGTTTTATGAATTTATTTTCAATTTTATCATTTCCCATTTAAGACGAAAACAAAGTCACCCGAAGAACGTGACCAGCATGTCCAACAGCTGGCACGGTCAAGCCACTAACTTTGCTCATCACAAAGTTAAACCGACAAAACTACACAAGCTCGCACACAGATACGCACCAACACATAGTGATAAGATACAGTTAGGGCCGAAATAATAGGAGCGGAGGTTATTTGGTTTTCTTCAATCTGCCTTTAAGCTCAATAAATACTTTATCTGCAGCAAATACTTTACATTCTGTAACCCATTGATAGTTAATAATTTTATTTTTAAATTTAAATTTATTTTTAAAGGACTTAATCAATCCTTATCACTAAAATGAAATAGATTGGTTTTTAACTAAAAAAAACTTTCAATTTGTAGCCCTTCCATTTTCCGGTCCTCTACTTCTTAAAAAAGGAAGCTTTACTATATACTGAAAAACCTTAATCATTGCACACTTAAGACTCTTTTTCACCAATTTACAGCCCTCTAGAAAGTCAGCTAATTAAAAATAAAAGTCGATACTATTTCCTTGACCTCTGCTGTGTGCGATCCAGTATGTGCGGCGGAGGCAAAGGCGAAAATGTAAAGTGACTTTTTGGGGTTGGCACTCTGGCCATCGCTGCGGTCAATGGGGGCTGTGTGGGGCTTAAGGTGTAACGACCCAGCCTTTCTGGCCTCCTTCAATGCCGCCGCAGACTCACACAACACCCCCCCACAGACAGCCACACACACACACACTCACACCCACACACCCACTGGCTGGGGGGAATTACATTTCCGGTTTGGGCCGCTTGCGGAAGTTTCGCGTCAAATTAAATGCTCAGGGCCAAAATTATGACAGCTCCCGAATGGGAGGGAAGCGCTCGTATAAATACGCCCGTCTGGAATGGACTGCCATCAAATCGTCAGCAAATAGACCAGCGAACATGTGGAAAGGATTCTCCTGCGCCATTCTCTGCCTGGCTCTCGTCCAGGCGGCTGTTATCCGTCCCGAAGGGGATTCCGAGATTCCGGAGAGCACCACTGGCGTGGTTAATCCGGATCAAGTTGGGGATGCCTCCACGGAGGAGGCCACCACTCTGGCGGGTCCTGCTTTCAGTCGCGACGAGGAGGCGAGCATACTGATTGATCCCGCCCCGGGCACTTTACAAGGGGCGACTTCCGTGGTGGCAGAGAAGTCCGGAAAGCTGCTGCTGCTTAGTACTCCGCCCAAGCGACTGCACGAAGTCGAGCGGCGGTTCGAGGAGCAGGATGACGAGGAGCAGGCCGATGCCGAGCCAACCACAACCACTGAGCAGCCAAAGGACAACGCGGAGCAGACGGAGGAGCCAAAGGAGGAGCAGAAGGAGGAGCAGAAGGAGGAGCAGAAGGAGGAGCAGAAGGAGGAGCAGAAGGAGGAGAAGAAGGAGGAGGGAGAGGAGGAGGCCAATACGGATAGTTCGACCACAGAGAGCAGCACCACTCCGGCCACAACAAAACTGTTTGCCATCGATGCCGCCCCGGCGGGAGTGGACTCCCCGCCGCCGAACGTGGCCATATCCCTTTCCCAGGACAATCTCAATGCCTCGGTTTCGATTGCCGAGCAGCCGCAGGCGCCCGGCGACAATAATGCCGCCGTGGAGTTGGCCATCGTGGAGCCGGAGGCCGAGTACGTGCTGGTGGACGGCGGCCACGACGACCACGAGGACCTGGACCTGGATCTGGACCTCCAGCTGGCCAGCTTCACGCACATCGACAGCGATGTTCACCTGCAGCCGGTTGTGCACTCCGTGGAAATCGTGCCCACCAGCCTCGATGATCCCTTGATTGTCAATTACGTGCACAATTTGCGGTGACTTGGCCAAGGAGGCGTGTCGGGACGAATCAATTAACCCGGTGCGGTTGGCCCTGTGACTCTGTTAAAGTTTTTTTTAGCTCTGTTTTATTGACTTTTGTTACTTTTTGAATGCGATCCTCAAATGGCTTTATACACAGCCCCTAACGAATAAAAAATACGTTCACATTGAAAAACATATCTTGTATGATTACAAATTTCAATAAGTGTGTTAATACTTTCTTGACCTGGAATCTAAAATCGAAAAGTCTTAATAGGGTTAAAAAATGAATTTCAAACTCCTAAATTTGCATGCAAAAGTTGTTAACTAATTTTCTTATGCTAAAAAGCTTCATTGGTTTCCGTCTGTCAAAAAACCAATTGTTTTATAAACATGCAACTTTGTGTGCACTTTTATTGGCGCTTTCGATTCAATTGAATGCCGTTCTGGGCCCACGAAACTCTCGCATAAAATATTCAGAAATACTGCCATAAATGTCTGGCACGAAGACTCCTCCGCTCAACAAGTCCTCTCGCTGAATCGCGGGTTCAATGGTCTCTGGCGGATTTACGTCCCACTGGCTCCTTCTCTCGGATGGTGCGGAGAGCACTCGCATACTCGTTATTCAATTTGAATCCTCCACGAAGAGGTCGATTGGGGGAGGGGGAGTCTAAGCTCCACCTCCAAAGTCGCCGGACGCCGTTCCGCATGCCACGCACGTTCCACGGTTAAAACTTTGCACATCCGCACGTCAAATTTGATACGGATGCCGGGAAGAGGAGCTCTCAGGCTGTCTCCAGCCAGAACCAGTCTCAATTTGATAGAAAACAGTTTGATGCTCGGCGCTACTCCTCCTTCAATTGCGAACAAAAACAATATTTAACAAAACATTCAATGACGTTACAAAAACAAAGTTGGGAACGTGCCACAACTTCCGGTCTATGAAAACGATGAGACTGATGACGATATAATTTGTGTACCTATAAACTTCTACAATCTTTTCTGTCAAGTTGAAGAAATCAGCAAATGTTGCGATAATTTATTTGTTTTTCGTACCTGAATGCTTAGCGTTTACCCATTTTAAACTTCCCTTTTATTTCCAAATAAAAACGGAAATAGACTTGAAGGTAAATAACAATTAAAAACATTTATTTGCACACACAGAAACTACAAATACTGAACTGTTAACAAGGATTAAAATAAGGCTCAGACCGGGGCTCTCACCACCGCTGCTCCACGTGCGTGGTGTAAACGAATCCCCGGGATCGGGGAGCCTGAACCAGAGGTTGCGATCGCAGGGGAATGGCCACCGGAATGGAGGACGGGGCTCTGGCCACGAGAACCGCAGGCCCCACATTGGCAGTGAAGACCACGCTCTCCGCATCGGGTTCGTCCTTGGATCCTGGCTCCGGCGTGGGTTTCAGGGGATCCGTGCTGACCCCGCAGACCGGATGGTCGGCATTGCTGTCGGTCGAGTTGCTGGCGGAGATCTGCTCCGGCTCCTCCAGATTCTGCTCGGTGGGCAGGCGGAAGGCGCGACTCGGGCGGAAGCCAGCTGGTGGATAGGGAGCCTTCTCAAGGGCCTTACTCGATCGGGACTCAGCTACTGGAAGTGGAGGAGCTGTGGTGGTGTCCAGGGAGTCCCAGGCAGTGGTGGTGGTGCTCCAGTCTGCAGATGATTCCGTGGTGCTGGTCGGCAGATCCTCCAGTGGCAGCTCGGTTGTGGTAGTCAGCTGCTCCTCCTGCCAGCCCGAACCTTCCGCGGGCACTTCCTGAACCTCGACTTCCACTTCGCCGGGCAACCAGAAGGCGCGACCTTGTGGCCGGAATCCCGCCGGAGGATAGGGAGCCGCCTTCACCTCGACCGCCTGATCCTCCTGTACACTGACCGCGTAGCGATTGATCCCTGATCTGGCGAGACTCGATCTGAAGTGGACCGAAGGCCCACAGGCAAAGGATAACGGGTAGGAGCCACTGCATGGTGAACTGTCGATCTCGGCCGAACTTAGACCCAACTGATTCCAGGTGCGATTGGGGCCGATACTTTTATACAAAGTTCTCGAAAGCGAGAGTCGTCCCGGGGAATATAGACATGGGCTTCTATATCGACACATCGACATCGACATCGATTAGGCGCACACTTAATGATTTATTTTGCATAGGTTTTTGTTTGTTTCTGGTCTCCGCCGACATCACCACGTCCGCCGCCGAGTCATCCACCATGTCGCCCACATTATCGCCGGTCCCCAACTGCCACACTGTCCGGTGTCCACGTCCGATTCGCCATGTTCTATGAAAATTAAATGCGTTTCGTACGTGACACGCAACCCAATCCCCGGCCAATTGAAAGCGAATTCGAAACGGAGGCGACGCCAACCACTGTTGTCAATTGCATTATGCTGGAATTGTCAGTTCGAGTGTTAGAATTTTTGATTAAACGCTTATAATCGATATTTATGCGATCAACGATTTGGCGTTGAGGTGAGCACCAAGGACAAACGATGGTTTTAAGTCACGTCCTGAACTATCATTACACGAATGAACTGATGATGACTAAATATTGTTAATGGGTTGAGAAAACAGATTGTCTTAGGATGAATTCGACGGCTTATTAGAACAGCGATCTCATTATTAAAATTAAAGAAATTATTAAATCGTAACTCAAATGCACAAGGTTAGATTATACTGTTCAGTTGCGGTAAAATCTGCTCTCTTAAAAAGTCCTAAACAGACAAATACAATTTCTAGTTATATCGGCTCTCGATATTATTCTGACGAATCTTCACCGTAAACTTCCTTTTTTCCATTTCAAAAATCCTTTTATTCCTTAAGTATATTTAAATATATGACGAACCTTTTATTCCAACTCCTGATGGATTTTGATTTGATTTAAGGCTTAAGGATCTGTAAAATGTAAATACATGTGAGTGTTTAAATTTAAAATGTAAATATTAATGATCTAGTTGGAAAAATCCATAGTAGATTCTCAGGTACGAAGTAAAAGATGTTCTTTGAAATGTGTCGTTATTTAAATATTTAAATTGCTGATTCAATAGACTTTAGATACACTCGAAACGAAGCGAACAAGCTAAAATAGCCGATTTGCAATAACCCAATATCCTTTAACTTCACCCTCAATTTACGACCCGCCATTAATTCCTTCTCCTGTCACATTAAGAGCATTTCAGCATTGAGCGATTGGTTCGATCGAGGTGGAGCAGTCTCCGATTTTGGTCTGATTGCTGGCGGAACCTCGGACCTCTGCATCTGCTAGTTCTTTCTGGTCACGTCGTGGCCGCATAAAGACGCCGCAGACACCGCCGATCGTGGGGAACCAAGTCTATAGTAGTAGGCCGACGTCAGAGCGTAGGTCCAAAAAAGGATGCCCGTAGTGGGTCCACGCGCCGCACACTAAACAGCTGCCCATCCAAGTCCTACCTATAAAAGCGCCCAAGAAGCTCTCCAAGTCATCAGTCGTTGGTTCAGCCCGCTCCTAGATACACCCCATCACCATGGCCAAGTTCCAAGTTATCCTCGTGGTTGCTATCCTCAGCCTGCTGGCCCTTTCCGAGGCCCAGCAGCAGCGCTACTCGCAGCGGTTGAGCCGCGGACGCTCGCGGTACTCCGCTCGCCAGGAACTGGCTCCTGCGGACGGAGGTGTTCCGGATGCCGTGACCCCCTACCCCTCGGCCGACGAACTGAAGCCGGAAGTGCCCTTCGACGAGGCCGCCGCCCCCTCGGCCGCCGAGCCCGTCCCGGATGCCGTCTACGGACCGCCCGACGCCGCGCCCAACGCCGTTCCCGACGAGGTCTACGGCCCCCCGGACGCGACCGGAAACGATCTGCCCGCCGCCGCCGACATTCCGGCGGAGCAGCAGGCCCGTTTGGTGGCTGCCAGGCGGGCGGCCAACTACCGCAGAGCCGCCCAGCCCGTGGCCTACCGTCGTGTGGCTTCCGCTGCAGCTCGCCCGGCCAAGTTGAGGGCTGTCCGCTCCAACGTGCGACGAGTCTAGGTGGATTCCAGGTAAGTCAATAGATTAAATCAACAGGCCAAATAATGTATTTATGAAAGCGTGAGATCTTGTTTTCCGATTAACTCACATTACCATAAATAATAATTGCTTATCGTATATACAATCAAGTTTAAATCGAAGTTAAAGAAACGTATATCAAAGTACTATTAGTACAATAACTTTTAATTATCGTTTCGCGAACCCTTCATTTATCAAAATGTTGATACTGTTTATTCAATTCCAGGGACAACTCAAAACAAAAACCCATGACGATCCAAACGAGCCACGATGACGACAAAGAAACACATGCTCACACTTTTTCCCACCACCCACACAAAGACATACACAAAAGAACCCTACTCGATTAAATAATCAAATGCAAATAAATAAAGTTTTGAGAAAGAACGTTCTCTTTGCGACATTCCAGTGAGTCATTTGTTCGCAGACACAAAGGCGAACCTGCCAGACGCTCCCAAAAACAAAATCTCCTGCGTAGTCGATCGGTATATTATGGCTAATGAGCAGTGGGAAAAGGGGAAGACCTGAAACTGGTTTTGGGAGGCACGCTTCCCAAAGCGGTGACGAGTGCAACAAGTTTTTGGGATTGCCCCAACCGCAAAAAACACAAGAAACAATCTAGCAGCCGAGTTAGATTAACTACTTAAGCGAAAATTAAATGTTCTTACATTCAGTAAATATATTTAAGATCCATCTTTTGGTTTTAAATGTCGTTTTAAATTGCAGCCCTTTTTCACTAAAAGCATGAGCATGCTAAAGAATAAAATAATTTTTTTTCCTCAATTAATAGTTGTAATGGGTGTCACATAAGATAACTTTTAAGTTTTTTAGAATTTGTTAGAATTGCGCTATTTAAATTTTATTTTAAGAATAAATTAAAATTTTGATTTATACTTTAATTTATGTTAAAAAAAACGTAAGATAATCTATTTTTGTTCCAATATATGATTTGTTTTCTGCTCTGTGTTTAAAATAATTGCACAAAGGGTAAAAAGAATCCAAGCAAACGCAATTGAAAAACCCAATATTTTACATAAAAATCAGAGTATAACCAGCAGCATCTCTGTACACAGCGCGAATAAAAGTTTACGTAGGTCTCTAAAGCAAGTAGGACTCTTCCAAAGAAATGAGACGACAAAAAACGAGAGATATATTGTGGGAGATCCTAGCATTTAATCATACACTGCAAAATTAACAAATGTAAGCTATTGCTACAGAGGCAATACACATACACATACACACAGACAATGCAGAAGAATTCTAGTTTTTATTATTTAAAATTTGTCTATTTAAATGTTCATATATCTGATATAAGTAAATGTAATATAGATGACTAAATATTGTTATATGAAAGTAAGGGTATTTACAAATTGTTAAACCGAACATTAAAATTTGTACAAATTTATAATTAAATATTTTTTCTCTGTGTGACTTGTCGCACGCAGAGTGTCGGAACTTATTTAAATAATCTCTCAGGTTGTTTCTTCTCAGTTGTCGGAGAAGATCAGTCCAGTAAGCATCTCGTGGAGTCACCGGAGAAATTCGTAAAATCAGTGAAACTTTCCTCGCAAAAATGCTGAAGTTTATTTGCGCCGTGGCTATTATCAGCATGACTCTGCTCGAAATTGTTCAGGCACAAAGACCGGCTTTTGCGGGCTTGAGGCCGCCAGGTGGACTGAGCCAAAAGGACAAATACCACGCAACTCAGAATACCGCTGCTGAAAATATCACCGGAGTGGATATAGCTACGAGATTCGGAGAGCCATCCAGTTCGCAGCCTGCTATTATCAATCTGCCCTTCGGAGCAGCCCAGAATCCGCCTGTTGGAGTTCCACTGGTGCTGCCCATTAGCAGTTTTGCTGGGGAGCAGGCTCCCACTGTGGCGAACCGCTTTGGAGCTGCTGACTCTCCAAGCCCTAGCCCCAGTCTAAGCTTCAGCTCAAACCCAAGCCCAAGCCCAAGCCCGATCCCACTCCCAACTGCTAGTTCCTCGACCGGAAGCTCCACAACCTCGGCGGCCCCGGTTTTAAGCCAGCTCCCCGTCGACGCCCATGGGGATCGGGAGTGGTTCAACCACTTGAGTTCGCTACCCGTGGAACAGCAGCCCTTCTGGCTCATTAACTACCAGGCCATCGAGGCCCATCGGAACAGTTCGAGACCCAATGTGGGCGCCTTCGAAACGCGGGGATCTTTCTTCCGCGGCTAAAAGCGTCATTGGGATCTTCTTAAAGTCTACGCCTAGATCAGATTTTGTTAATGTGTCTGAACGTATATGTATAACAGTTTATTTATTTTCATAAAGAATACTCACTTTTAAAATTGTGTATTTGTGTGTTGAGATAACCTTTTCTAGCGAATCAAGCTGAGGACTGATAAGCTTGAAAATTTCCCATCGTCTTACGCTAAAGATTATTAAGAAGCTGGGATTTTGACCGATATTTAATAGTGAATTTATGAAGGGGTTTTATTAGTCACTGCTCTATTTAAATTTATATACATTTATATAACATTAAGAAAGAGCAAAAAAAGATCAAAAGCTTTAAAGTAATTAAGCCCGCTCTTTATAGAGACCACTTGGTTTACGATTAATTCCACTTGACTTTGACCGGTTCTCATTAAAATGTAAACAGAATAAAAAAAAAACCAAAAAACTTATCATCGACAGCCTTAAGCTTATTCATCTGTACAGCTAAAAAATACATCTTTTGTAACATGAACCTATGCTCTAAAATTTGAATTTAGGTGAATACTATGTTCGATTAAATTAATTAGGATTATAAACATTACGATTAGGATATTTATTATTCATTCAAAGGCAGTCATCTCTGGAGGTTGTTGATTATTTAAGAACATCCAATTTTATTACGTTCACCGGCATGGAACAAAAGATTCGCTAATTCGTCGAAAACTTTAATTGTTTCTGTTTGTGGTTTATTTTTATAGTGGAATCTTAATTATAGAATAGAAGACAGGTTTACGCAAATTATACGCTGAATGTGTATTTCTGAAATAGAGGCTATTAAATATGATTGATGTTTTTTAAGTGAAATCGACTGGTAGCTGTTTCACATTGAATGCAAATAATTTAACTTTCAATTAAATCAAAAGTTATTAAATAACAAAAAAGGAAGCTAGCTTCGGCAAGCCGAAGATTACATTCCTTTGTCAGTCATCAAATATTTATCCCACGATCACGATCATTTTGCTCTGCAAAGGTATAAACACTATCTGGAAGAAATCAATTCAATATGATCAAAAACAAAGGCGTGAGAATTTTGTTTAATTCTCTCGTATGGGAGCTTTCCAAAATATTCACCCGATCCAGACCGTCCCGACTTATATTCTGCGGCAACAACTTTTGGTAAAGTTTCTGCAAGATAGCTTTGAAACCAAGAGAAAAGTTTATATAAAAACAGACGGTCAGACGTACAGTCGAGTCCCGTTAATTCGAAATGGCAAGGGGATCACTTTTATTTTACGAATTAGACGGGAATTCGATTTATCGAGATTTTTTTCAAGGGATTATTTTTCAAGGGAACAGAATTTTTTACGAATTATCGCGATTTTCGATTTAGCGGGGTACGAAATATCGGGATTCGACTGTATTTTAATTACGATCGGGATGCTGATCAAAAATATATATACTTTATGGGGACGAAGGTGTCTCCTTCACTGCGTTGCAAACTCTTGACTGAAATTATAAGAGGGTATTATAAGGGTATAAAAATCAAACGATGTTGAACTAGTTTTGCAAGAACACAAGCCACATCAGTCGGAAACTTATTTCAGTAGAGTAAAAAAACATTTTCTGGTAATATTAAAGTATAGTTTTGCCAGATTTTAGGGAAGACACTTCAAAAACATAGTTCTGAACAGCCTATAACCAGTTTTTGGTGTATCCTGCCAAAGATAACTCCATCAAAAGCCACAAAACGGCGATTGCAGAAATGTGTTTATCCTATGAAAATATATTCATACGACCATCATCGTCATTACACCCAGGAGCCGCTTATTTGGTTATAACAGAAGAACAAAAACTTTGCAAATCGAAACCCAACTGTGGAGACTTTTAATGGAGTTTGGAGTTCCAGTGAGGAACAGCTTCTTGGTACCAATCTAATATTTTGAGTGCCCCAAAGAGCAAAGAGTTCCTATGCTGCAATCCTCCCTTTTATAGAATTTTTCAACAGCGTCTAACCCGATCATCAATATCCCAACTTCCGATACTTTGGTAATCAGGAATGGATTGACTTGACTTAGCTCTTAAACAGAAGCCACCGAATAATAAAACTGAACTTAATGACCATCATTTTAAAATATACGTGCAAGCCAGTCAGTTTAGCTTTAAATAGAACAAAGCGTTAAAAATGCATTGAACAGGAGAAACAAAGTTTCTCAATAGACCATTAAGTTCCTGGCAAAATATGTACTAAGACGAAAGGAGCCAGAAACCCCTCAAACGTTGCGAAAGCAATTCACATGTCAAGGGTGCATATATGCAAAGAATACTGAAAAGGAGTCGTTTCTCTACAATGCAGAAGCCATTGTTAAAAGCCAATGATTTGCAATGAGTTGGTGGTGAGTAAAAAGCTCTAAGCGGTTTGTTAAGCAGGGCAACAAAATGGGAATGAAAAATAATATTTTATGTAGACACTTATCAGACTTGCTATGCTTTTTAGAAACAACAAAGTAAAACTCCGTTTATATATGAGTACTTAAAAAGTTTAACAGTTTGAAATATACAGTAAAAATATATACTGTTGAAACCAAAAAATATGCACAAATGCACTTTCAATTTAGCACCAAAAAAACTAATTCCTAAACAGAATTAATATATTAGGTCGATAAAATACTTTTGAAAGAAACAATACATTTTTTAAGTGGAGACAGGGATTTTTTTTTAAAATTCCATTCGCAAAGAAAATTGTTAGTTTCTAGACCTCGGGTACCACAAACCAGAACCACTTTTAGCAGCAAGAACATATTGCATAAAAAAAATCAACCTTTTCTTTCTCAAAAATATATTTTCAACGACTAAAACAAATCAAATCCAAGCGATGTACAAATAGGAAATTCAGCTATTGTTTACCAGCCCAATTGCTGGGGAGCGGCGTTGTAGGACAGGTAATAGGGCTGCTGGCCCGCGCCCACGTAGTAGAACTGGGGCGTGGCCAGCGCTGGTGCAACAGGAGCCACTGCAGCGACTGGAGCCACTGCCTCATCCACGGGCAGCTCCTCCAGACGAGCGATGCGTTGGCGCAGACGCTTGGGCTTGGCCAGCTGCAACTTGGCCAACCTCTGGCGGCTGCGCAGACGGGCGGGGGCGGAGGAGGGCGTGGTCGCCTCCAGGGAGCTCTCCTCGGTGTCCACCTCCTCGGTCTCCGGGCTGGGCTCGAAGTTGTCCACCGGTGGCTCCTGCTCCGACGGCAAGGCGTCCGTGTCCACGTCCTCTGGAGGTCCGTAGGTCAGGGCAGGCTGTTCGGCGGCAGGCTTAAGCTCGGCGGCGGATGGATAGGGCGTGGGTGCCACCTCCTGGCGGGCAAAGGTCACCGGACGCAGGCGCAGGCGTCGCCGGAGCGGAGTCTGTGCCGTACAGGTTACGGCCCAGATGGCCAGCAGAAGAAGCAGGGAGCTGAAGAGCTGATGACGTGCCATGATCGTGGGACTTGCAGTGGAGCAATGTTGGCTGTCGTATATGGAGCTTTAACTTTTATACCCACAAGGCGCCAACGGTGGCCCCGCTGGCCAGCGATTCTAGCCGACCCACAACGCCGTGCATTTTAAGCAGAGAGCCGCGATTTGAAAGCCATCAATGCGTATGTCAAGCAGGCGCCGCACAGTGGAGTGGAATTTAAAGTGCTATCAAAACTCTATCACTGGCCGCCCATGTGGTCATTTGGATGGACCTTAGATATCTAGGAAAACCTTAAGTAATAGAAAATCGGAGGAATAGGTTGATACAAAGGCACGTTATATTGTAAAACCTCTAATGATAACAAATTTCGTTATAGCAAAAATAAGAATCAAAACCGTAAAGTTTTTTTAAAACTGGGAGAATTCTGTATAGTTTTTAGCCATACATTTTAAATGTATTGTTTTATATTAAAATAATGTTCTTGTTGTAAGTGATTTTTTGTATTTTTATTGTAAAAAAGAAATAATCACCTAATTATAATGGATGTGATTCCAAATCAGTTTCCAATTTTTCATTTAAAGGTTCACCCCATTGCTTATTGGCACTGGGGCCAAGCGAAGTGTCAAAGTTAAGTACCCGTGGGTTATAATTAACGGCCAATGGTTATTGGTTAGACATGGGCCCTTGACTAAATATTGTCACGTCCATAGGCCATCGAAAGGGTGTCCCTCAATGTGCCAAATATGAGTGGCCAAAAACTACGGTGTATAAAAGCTCCGCGACATTCAGTGGTAGACAACATTCTAAGACAGCTTATCACCAGCTCAACATGGCCTACAAGTTCACCTGCTCCCTGCTCCTGATTGCAGCCATTGCTGCCGTCGCTCTGGCGGAACCTGCCAGGTTCCGAGGCCGATCCTCTCGTCTTCAATTCGCTCGTCAGGAGCAAGCTCCAGAGGATCCAGCTGCTCCAGCAGACCCTGCCGTGGATATTGCGCCCACTGAGGCCCCGGCTCCTTATCCACCAGCTGGCGTCACTCCGGAAGTGCCCTTCGACCTGCCCACGGAGACGGAGGCCCAGCCTGATCTGACTTACGGACCGCCAGCTGAGCCGGACAACACCTACGGTCCTCCGGATAACACCTACGGACCCCCAGCTGAGCCTGACAACACCTATGGACCTCCGGCCGATGATGCCGCAGCTGACCAGGCTCCAGTCGATGCGGAGCCCATTCCGGCCAGTCTGATCCAGCCCCGAAACGGACGCCTTCGCAGCCGTCGTCCCGTTCCGGAGAAGCTCCGATCCGCCCAGATCATCCGCTCCCGACCAGTGCTGGTCTACACTATCTAGAATGAGTCAATGCAAAATAAGATACGAATTGAGCCGAAAAATAAGGATTTAAGTACCTAAAACTGTTGCTAAATAAATAATCGAGTTGTTGAATACTATTTTAAACCGATGCGTTTCTTATGTTATCTAAAAGGGTGACCTCGACATTTCCTTTAATATAAGAGGTACAAACTATATTTATTGGATCCCGTGGGACAGCAATACTAATGGAAATAACCTGCATGAAGAAGGATAGATCGACAGTAAGGTGGCAATTATTTTAAGCAATCACCTATAAATAAAATAAAAAAATCATAAAAACAAACATAAAAACACTAAATGCATAGGAGTTAAACAAAACAACAAACGGCATCGACTCGGTCCAATTTGGTCACGAAATCTAGACCGCTGCCTCACGAAATTGGACAAATTGCACACCCATAGAAATGGGTAATAGGCCAATAGCCTTTTGTTAAGACCTGATCGAACAAATCAAAATTATTTAAACTAAAAGGAACCTAGCCGTACTTAGTATGCAACTGCATATTTTAAAAACACCGAAGATTCAAAAATTTAAAAAACCCATTCACATAGTTTTTTTGACCCAATTTTAATACAATATCATTTATGTAATTTGTGAAATACGTTTCAATACCAATTCAAAAAGGAAGGAAGATTATCTGTAATATTATTTTGAACTTGCAGTATTGGCCATAAATGTTTTAATAGCTTACAATTTTGTATTCAAAAGGAATATTATTCACCGAAATCCAACAATTATTAATCTAATAAATTTAGCACTTAAGACATCTTATTTTCAAAATCCTTGAACAAACTTTGAATATGTTAGCCTATAAATGGGACGTGCCTCTCTTGATTAATGCTCACAATTGATTTTTTCAAAGCCTATTTTGTTTCATATGAATACTAAACTGATCAAACGAAATTATGAACTGCCAAGAACCCAAGATCCGAAAACAGACAGTTTCAAACGTTCATAGCGACCCCAAAGCCTAAATCGAGGGTTAATGAATGATCCCACGGAAGGGAAGGGGAAGCATATTCGAAATCATAGCATTGGCTATTTCATTTCGAAAAAGGGTCACGTATCGAGTATTAAGCTCGCCGCCGATCAGCGCAACATAATCAAAGTTTTACCGGGAACAAGAGCCTAAAATTGAAAGTGACGAGCATAAATTATAGAAAACTCGATCCGGTAGCACGGGACTATAAATAAGCCAAGTCGGATTGGGAAATCAGAACAGAAGCCCTTCAACCGCGAAAATGATCAAAGCACCAGTCGTCATTCTTATCCTGGGCCTGGTGGCACTAAGTTCGGCGGAACCACTCCGCCGGAGATTCTCCGCCAGGCAGGAAGAGGCTCCGCCCAGTCCGTCGCCTACAGGTTACCCGGCGGCGGGAGTAACCCCGAGTGTTCCTTTCGATCTGCCCAGCTCGACCCCTAAGCCGGAGAGCACTTACCTGCCACCGGACAACACTTATGGACCCCCAGACAACACCTACGGACCTCCGGATAACACCTACGGCCCGCCAGACAACACTTACGGACCACCGGAGGCTGACTCCGTTCCAGTTCCAGATCCCGAATCGGAGCCACAGCCAGAGAATCCCATCGAGACCGATGATATCCCAGAAACTGAGGACGAGTCGGTGGATGAGGCCAAGCTGCAGCCCGCTGATGAGGACGCAGAGGAGGACGAGCCGCAGTTGAAGGTGCTGGAGGACGGCACTGTCATCGTCGTGGCCAGCAGTCTCGACCAGCCTCAACCACAGCCCGTCCAGTCGGCCCGACTCTACCAGCGTTTTCCCCAAGGACGTAGTAGCCGGCAACCCGTTCCCCAGCGACTGATTCTTCGCCGCAACTGGTGAACTTCGAAAAGTCTTTTTAAAAATGTCAGAACTTAGATATTAATGTATAGCGACATAATAACACAACCAAGTCATCGCACCAGACATATCAGAAACCCTAATAAAACCGAAAGGTTTCTTAATCAATAATTGTGAAGAAGGAATCCATCATCGTAAAAACTTGTTACAATAAAACACTGAAAAACGATAAATTAAACTGTAAATTGCTTAAGTATCGGAAAAATTGAAATGAATACTGTTCTTTATATATGTATTATGTGGCTAACCATTAGTTAAAAAATTTAATAAAGGTAACATTTAGGAGCAATTTACAACTATTGCTTTCGTAGTCACAAAAGGAGGTACAGGATAAAAATGTTCTAAGGTGCACAAAAGCTGATGCTTTTCAATGAATTCAAAAGCTGTTCTATTTTTTGGGTATAAGTTGAATATTAATATTTAAAATAAATGTGTAACAAACATTTTTGAAATGATTATAATAAAACCTAATGAAATGCAACTAGTTTTTCATAACAATTACACTTGCTTTAGTCATCACCGCAATGGGCACGTAAAGTTGGGCCTGCCGTATAAGTCATCGGCCTCGTAGTTTCTTTGGGCCAGTTGATTGGGCAGCCCCCAAGGCCATTCCCAGTGGGTATTTATAGGCGACACTAAGGCCCACAAAACAACAGTTCAAGATAGCACTCCAAAATGTTCGGTTATCCAACTGGTTCTCTGGTCACCCTCGCCCTTTGCTCCATTCTTTGCCTGAATGGAATCGAAGGCACCCATCTGAGGTTTCCGGGACCCGCAAGGAGCAAATCCCTGCCGCTAATCCTGCAGAGACAGGAGCAGGCCCCATATCCACCTGCTGGCCTGGTGCCCGATCCGCCATTCGAGCTGCCCACGGAGGAGGCGGTGGAGTTCCCTCAACCGGACGTGATCTATGGACCTCCAGCGGACACCTACGGACCGCCTGCTGTGGTGGAGCAGCCCGCCGAGGCTTACGGTCCTCCTGCTGTGGTGGAGCAGCCCGCCGAGGCTTATGGTCCTCCGGATCTGGTCTACGGCCCGCCCGAGCAGACCTACGGACCCCCAGAACAATCAGCCAACGATGACACCTCCAGCAGCTCGCCGCAAAGTGCAGCTATTATCGACCTGGCCAGTCTGCCGCTGCCACCCCAGGCTCAGTATGTTCTGCCGCTTTTGAACCGCCTGGCTGCCTTCCGCCCGCAGCGTCCGGTGCTCCTGACTCCGCAGCGACGCCCTGCCAAGCTCTCTTCTCGTCCACGACCGAATCCAGCAAAGATCGTAAATTCCATTAAAAAAGCTCCAGTGTTCCCAGCGACCCCGTTGGCTTTGCCCTTCGTGGATCGCCGCATTCCTTTTCGTCCACAGCCATCTCGCCTCATAGTGAATGCACCTTTTAGACGCCCATCTAGGCACTAGACCAGATCACTTAACATTCTGACCCCGAGCATAGTGCACCAATGATATTATTACGCTGTAAATAAAGTTTGTTGTTTATGTCTAATTTGCGAACGGAAATAAGTATATAAAAAGTTTAGAAGGCCAGCCGCTTCATCAGCAGGTACATGTGCTGGTCCACCTCGAAGCCGTGCAGATTATTCGCGTCTCCTTGCAGTCGCATCAGCAGACCGCCGAAAGACACGTAGGCGGAGAGCCGGGAAGCCTCGTTGTGTGCCTCGTCACCCTCAATCCTGTAGATCTTGCCGTACATAACGTACTCGAAACTATCCGCCCGCGTGCCCTCGTGCTCCATGGGATTGTACTCCCCACTGTCCGGGCAGCCATCCTCGCGCAGCGTGGTGGCCAGGACCAGGCGAAACTTGTCACCCAGCTCCATTGGGTACAGCCACGAGTTGATGTCCAGGATGAGATCCATCTTAAAGGACTCAGACTCGCAGTGCAGGCGGGACACTCTGTCGAACTTCTTGCCCTCCGGATCCATGTCCTTTACGTTAAAAATATCCTCGAAGAGTACGCCAGCCATTGTAGCTGAAAAAATGTAGTTTCGGTTACTGGCGACTCAGTTCAGCGAAGCGCCAAAAACTTACACCTTACCTTGTATCCGGATTCGGGTTTATATGTATTAAGTCCTTTTTGTGGAGGTAGTTTGGTGATATTGTACAGAAGGGATGATTAAGGCAGAACTTTTATGTTAAACTTTCTTTTTTAACTACTGTTTTCCATTTCTATTCTTAAATATTTTGCTTGCGCGTGTTTCAGTCAGTCAGGGATGCCGGACCAGCTTAGCGGCGTTTAGCGTTGCCACACATTCGCGGATTTTGTGTTTTAAGGTGGTCGCGTTCAGCCGAAGATGAAAAATCGTGATATTTGTGTTCCAAGTTTTTTAAAACAACATAGTGAAGATAAGCTACTTATTTTTTTGTTTTGCCTTATTGAAAAGCTTATGCAAAGAGAATAAAAAAAAGGTATTTGTTTTTTTTACTTAACTCACGGCCTAACCAACTATCAGTGACTGCTTATCACGATTCCTTCTCTAGGCGTGCAGAAAAAGAACTCTAGGTGTGACCGTTACTGTAGGCATACACATCACTAAAATTAAGAACAACAACGAAAAACCACCGTAAACTGTAATTTATTTTGGTCAATAATTCACAAAGGTTTTGGATCGGTCAACTTAGATGGCCGCCTTAAAAACCTCAGGCGATGGATAAACCATAAAAACACGTGCAAACTGCAAGCCACCGGAATGCAAAAAGTATGTACACAGCGAGGGGGCGTTGAAATTATAAACAAATAAATCGGAATTCTGGCCGCAGAATGTAGAGACAGTCAAGGTGTGTCCAATTCTGGGGATGGTTAATGCTTCCTGCGATAAAGGGCATTAAGCAATCAACGATGGTTCTCGCGGGTAAGTCCACGGTTAATTGGTTTTCGGTGATGGAATTGTAGAACTTCTGGGTCCAATATGTAGCCTCTGTATGTATAAGCTAGTTTATTGAGCAAGTAACTCCGTTGTGGTGCTGGTTTTATTTACTAACAATCGGGTGCAAGACCCCCGAAATTGTTGACTCGTCGAGTTCTGTGCACCGAATACGAAAGACTTCAACGGGCGCCTCCCCTTGCTTATCCCTTACCCACCCCAGCCCCCTTGCAACCGATTACCCCCGTCTATTTAGCATTACAAAACTGCTGTTATGTATTCACTTCTTTATTTTCGCTTTTTGTGTGTGATTTTTGCTGTCGTTCGTGCTTTTTGCCCCGTTCTCTTTCAGTTTCGATTCCCAGCTCCGGATTCTAGCTTTAATTCGCTTTTTCAACAGTTTGGTCGAGGGCTGTTGTGCTGTTTAAGTGAGTTTTAGTTTCAGCTTCTGCGGGTGCGGCTCTAATGAACCATTAACCCTCCGCAGGGCCGAGGGGTTGACAGGGTCCGGAGGGTTCCCAATCTGTTTGCCAGATGTTCGTCGAAGTCCAGGGTCATCGGCTCTCTTCCAGTTGCATTTTCTTTGTGCTCGCTTTTCATTGGAAACTCCGCTACCGCGGAGAACAGACGACTCCAGATCGCTCAGGTTACATATGTGGCGATATTTGTACATCTACATATCTATCTATAGTTCCTCGGATAGGAGTTCAAGTGCTTGTGAGTGCGTAGTCTTATCGTGCAGCCGGATAGCTTATCAGTTGTTGCCTTCATGAGATCTTATCACGCGATAGCTTCCTCTCGCTCCCGCTCAAACAAAAGATTAAGACAACAAACTGGGAAAATTTCTGGGAGCTTACGTTCGCTGGAATTGACAAATTATAAAGCGACAAATCGAAAGGGAAGGAAGCTCCTAGCTTCTACACAGTGAATAATCGGATGTGTCATAGAACTGCCTAAAATCAAATGAAGCAAAACAATTACAGTCATACGCGCTATGTTTAGAATCAAACGTTTTATATATTTTAAGTTCTTAAAGTAAACCTTTATCAGAATAGCTCTTTAAAAAGTTTTATTTTGTGCATATATGTATTTATCCAATAGAAGTCCAAGCATATGTATATAATTTAAAACTCCATAATTAATGTTTTTAGACCAGCACAGATTTTATAATCACTTCCAATGTAACAAGACTCCCAACGTATTTAAACAAAAACGGTGGGCAGAATTTTTTTTGTTTTTTGTTTATAAAGTTTTATATATTGTCCACTAGTAGAAAGTACAAAATTCAAAAATGATAGACAAAAATTGGTAATATTTTTCTGTGCATAAGTCTTATCACTGTTGACACAGCTGGAGGTTCTGTTCCGTTGCTGTTTCTCTTTTTGTTTCTGTTTCGGCCTCACTTACTGTTATTATTTCTGTCTGTGTTTTTGATTCTCCGTCTGCTTCAGAACGTGGCGCATTGCTAGTGGAGAAATAAAGCAGTTCTTAACTTTTTTGCAGCCCATCTATACTAATCTAAGCCAATGGTGTATGGGATCTTTCCTAAAAGTAGCCAAACAAACCAAAAAAATCAGAAAACCATAAATTACGTAGAACATTAACCCTAGAAGTAAAGCAAATCGCAGCTGGTGCCGGTGTCCCCAAGAAGAGATCCCCAAGAAATAATCAACTGAATAATACAAAAACCAACAAATGGTACGCAGTCGTCGCAGTTTATCCAAGGAGGATGCAGTCTCCCTGCTCACGGACAGCGGGATCTCGCTATCCTCGCCGCCGGCGGCGAGGGACTCTTCTCCAGCACTCACGCATCCTATCAAACGACGGAAGAGCAGCCTGGCCAGTTTGCGTGGTGTCTGTGCGGAGGAGGAAGAAGAAGAGCCCGCTGATCAGGACTCAAAGGATGCCGATTATGTGCAACCACCGCCCAAAAAGTCCCCTCGCAAGGGGGAGGCAGTGAAGCGGAAACAACATGTCTGCAGCCACTGCTCCAAGGAGTTCGGCGGCAAGACTGACCTTCAGCGCCACATTCTGATCCACTCCGACGAACGGCCGCACAAGTGCAAGGATTGTGGCAAGAGCTACCGCCAGGCGGTCAACCTCAAGAACCACATCACCACCGCCCACGAACACCGAAAGCAGTTCGCCTGTTCCCAGTGTCCCAAGTCCTTTGCCCTCAAGGAGCGTCTGCGCCTTCATATGCGCCTTCACTCCGGCGAGAAGCCGTATCCTTGCGCTCTGTGCGACAAAAAATTCGCACGAGGAGGTCAGGTGAGTGAAATGATTATAAAATAAATTTTTAATTTCTGTGGTGTATCTAAAGCAAATGCTTTAAAATAAAATAAAGATGCTTTTTTTTTGTTACAAACAAAGAACTGAATATTTCTATAGCAACTTAATTATGTCTAACATCTTAAATACTTGTCAAATCTTAAATATCAATGCCAAAGTAGGACTTTAACTTAGTACTTTTTATTTTGTTTTTAAATGTAATTATTGCATATGAAACTAAATTTGTAATATAATCTTTTTCAAGAAAAAATAAAGAAAACCATTAATTGTTATTTTCAGTTGCAGCAGCATATGGTTTCTCATCATAAGACGAGCATCCAGCAGTTCAACTGCACCAAGTGCTCGGCCAGCTTTTCAACTAACGCCAATCTGCGGGTCCACATGGAGCGCCACGAGCAGGGCATGGAGCACCGGTGCGGGATCTGTGAGAGTCAGTTTGCCAACGAGTTGGCCTTGCGAGCCCACATAAACCAGGAGCACCACAAGCTCACGCAGTTAGAGTGCGAAATCTGCCACAAGTCCATCGAGCCGGATGAGGATCTGGCGACGCATATGCAGAAGCACGCTGCGGTTAAGACACACGTGTGCGAGGTGTGCAACACATATTTTACCCAGAAGAGCCAGTACAATGTCCACATGCGGATGCACACGGGAGAGCGGCCCTACCAGTGTAGGGTGAGTAGCAAGAGCCACAGCATAGCATAATTCCTTTAACCTATATCTCTTCTACCGACAGATTTGCCACCAGACCTTTGCGCACTCCAGCGTACTAAAGCTGCACATCCGCAAGCACACGGGCGAAAAACCCTTTCGTTGTCAACTCTGTCAGGACGAGGTGGCATTCTCTCAACTGGCACACCTTAAGAACCACATGAAGAAGATCCACAAACAGCAAAAGCCTTATATGTGTGAAGGCTGTCACGAGTTCTTCAAGATCAAGGTGGAGCTGCAGGCGCATGCGGAGCAGTGCGCCAAGTGTCCTGCGGGCGGTGACGAGTCCGCTGGCAATCAGTCTGAAGAAGCGGTCATTCTCTCAACCATTCGTTTCAACATGGCAGTGGTTTTAAAGAAGATTAGCTCGGCCCCCAAGCTGCGTCAGCTGGGCTACGAGAAGCGTCTGATCGATAATGTGATCATTGCATCGCTGAAGTTAGCACAGCGACCGACGCACGACGACGCCAAGATGTCGCCCTTAGCCAGACTTCGACTGAATGTGGAGGAGTTCCTGAAATGGATTGTGCCAGCGCCTACCATGAAGAAATTCAGAGAAGAATTGCTGTCCATCGACACGATTCTTGACAAGATTGCCACCATGTATATGAAGCAGAAGTAGAAGTCAGAAGTTGCAAGCCAACATAAATGCAAGAGTGCCATAGAAGGAGGATTTGTAAAACTAGTTCTTGCCATTTAGCTTAGTTTTTAGTTACCCAAAGTTGCAGAACGAAAACCAACCAAATAATTTATCCCAAAGATATATACTTTTTAGTACTGATCATTTTAATGACCTACCTTAACATAGTCTCAATTGCTGCTACCAAAAAGAAAACAAATTGTAAAACGAATGATTAAGTTTGTTTATTATCAGTTTTCTATTAATGAAGTCTAGATTTAAGAACAAATTTTGATGCAATAATTTATATAATAATAAGTTTAACACGACCGGATTGAACCCAAAAATGTTATTTGGATTACGTCTTGCCAGAGCAACAGACAACTTAGTGTGGATCTAACAGCTCAAGTACAATTAAACTTATTGTGGCCATGCATATGTAGTAAATAAACTTAATGCATTTAGTTGCTGTTTAATTTTCCTAACTTTTTTTATTTTGGCTAATTTTAACATTTTCAAGAAAATTAGTTCAAAGTCGAAATTAAATTGTACAACCGAATAAATTAAAAACAAATCAAAACACGCAAGTAAAATAACGACTAAATAAAGAGTATTGTTTGTAATTGATATATTGGCCGTTTATTTTGGGGTATCTTATACTGAATCTGTAGAAGAACCATTTTTTCCTTTACGTAATTCGCAATGCTACATACTTAAAATATATAATCATTGTTAAAAACTTTCTGACGTATCAGAAATTGTGCAAGCAATTTTCTTACACTTTCAATTTTGATTTAATTGTTCGCCACGACTAACATTTTTTTGTCTTGGCTGCAAAAAACGAACTGTGTGCAATTTGAATGTTATAGTATTAAGAGGACTGTATATCTGTGAGATATTTATCAATCATAATTATTCGTTCGGTGGCTTGGGTATTCCTGACCTTAGGGGCTCATCTGAAGAATTTCAAACCATGTCCGGCTGGATGCGGCCTTCCATATTTGAATGCAGCCAAAAAAGCATCGAGCTGCACACAAACACCCAGACACACCCAACCGGGCTGGCATCTTACCACATAAACAGTTAGGTACAAGTGCCCCATGGGTCCCTGCCCGATGGCCATAAATGGTCTGAGCTTGTGCACAAATTTATAAGCCACTCACATTAAGGCGGCAAATTATTTTTATGGCAAACAGCGCACTGCTTGCGAGCTAAGCTCTGAGCAGCGGTGGCATCTGCAGGCGTTGTGGCACCTGCCCGCGCCACTTACCTCGGGACCAGCACTTTCCACCCACCCCAGAGCATTTAATGAAGTCTCCCCAGCGAATTTATTGACGCAACCGTTAGTGTCAACCAAGCCGGAGGGTGAGGGTGCAATTTGTTTTGCCACGAGATGCATGCAAAATTTTATGAATCGAATATAGTTATGATTTTATGATAGGCCAGCAAATGCAGTTTTTTTTTCTATGCTGGCCGTTGCGTGTCTGTCACCTGAAGCTGCTGTTGCAATCTCCGCCAGTCTACCAACCCATCCCTTCCCTTCCAATCCCGACCCCGATCCCGATCCCGTTCTCGATCCCTTGGCCTGGCCAGCAGCTTAATGTCTACATTTGTTCTGGCCATTGCGTGTTCAGTGGCTGCCCTTTTTGCAATCTCTGCTAACTCGGTTACTCCTGCTCCCACTGCCACTTCCAAGTTCTCCTGCTCCGCTCCTCCGGCCCGGTGCAACTGCAAGTCAGGCACTCCAGCTCCTTCGGCCCGGCCGCAGATTTAGCCGCACCATCTCCAGCAGCTGCCGCTGCCACGGCACATTAGAACAAATTGCTCTTGTTACGATAGGAAGGATGGACATGCCTTTTGCCTTGTTTGGACCAACGGACAGAATGCCTCTGCTGGTTAGAGACCAGGCACACTAGAGCCACTGGACATGTATGACAGCCTACTAAGTTGGCTGCAGGTGGATTATATTATTGTTTGGAAAAAACATGTCAAGGCTTGTAACTATAAAAATAAATAAATACTCTACGAAAGTAAAGTTATCGTGCACTTTTTGTGTTATTAAAATGGGGCTAGTAGAGTATTTGTAATTCAACAAACTTCAGTTGCATCTCCACGTTTATTTTTCAAGTAAAAAGCGCCACGAGTTCGTGAAACAAATAGTCAGAGACGTAAGTACGCATGTTTCGCCTGTTGGCCAGGGTTCTTTGGGGCTTAGCCTTATCTGCATACCGGGATTTGACCGGGACAATGTTAATGATGAGAAAAAGAAAATCAGCCTGCGAATGCCTCCGAGGACCAGGCACCATTTCCGTTTTCCCTTTGGGTACAGACCGCAACAAATTGATTTGACTCGGACCATTTGTGTTAGCTCGTTTGGCATTATATAATGCATGTATAATTCTTTTGTTGTCTGCGGCTAATTTGCGAATTTACGCTCGCATTGGGGCAATGTCATTCCACTCCGAGTCAAAGTCTTTAATATAAGTTCAAGCCCAAGGCAAGTTAAAGACGATTACTTGTATCTTATTTGTGCCGCAGTTGAGGAACTGACTAACTAAATTGCAGTAGCCCACGCCATTCATTCAAGGGCTTATAGAGTAACATAGAAGTCCATAATTGTGTAGAAATGCCCAAGTAAAACCATTTTCCAGAGTATTAGAAATGCATTTATTTGACAATAAATTTACCATTTATTTGTAGGTCAAAATCTTAATTGTATATTCGGTCTCTGTAAACTTAAATATTCAACAAAGATACGTTTGGAATAAGTTAAAAATTAAAATAAATATAAAAGCCAAAAGAATATTTTGCTAAATCAAAATACCAGTAACCTTTCATTAGTCAGCCTTGACCACGGATTTTTTGGGCCTCCTCCACGTGGAGCGAAGTCATTCGGGTCGTTCAACTTTAGCTGACCGGGGCGTTTAAGGAGGCAAAGTCAAGTCAAGTCAAAAGTCATAAAAGATATGCAAGCCTGTGGAGTCTGACTGCCTTAACAAATGTACGAGTCTACAGATGGTTTTGTATAGCTCTTGCTCTGGGTTTGGGCTTGGGTTCGGGCATGGGTATGGGTATGGGTATGGGTATGGGTATGGGTATGGGTATGGGTATGGGTATGGGTATGGGTAAATGGGTAAGGGTATGGGGATGTGCGTTGCCTTGGTAATCCTTGGCCAAGTCTGCGCTGCCCTTATTGCAACAGCAACAGCCGAACAGCATCGGGAACAACAATTACAAATGGACGACTTCTTTGTTCTGTCAGCAAGCCTGCTGCAGTCCTACAGCCCAGAATCAGCATCAGAGCCAGCACCAGTCGGATCTTTAACCGAGCTCCAGCCCGAGTTGAGGCCAAAAGAGCTGCAGCCCGAGGTTTGCGGTAGCAGCCCAAAAGAGGGGGCGTCGTCGGAGTCGTCTCCATCTCCATCTATGCTGCCAGCAGCTGCTACGCATAAAGCATGCGCTCGGCACTGAGAGAAAATCGATCTTAACAAATGAAAGCCATCATGGAACAAGGCTGAAAATACTGATATAAAGCAGTTCAATGCTAATCAAGAGGCAGAAAGCACTAAAAATAAGTTAAACAAATAAATTAGGAAAGCAAAATAAATTCCACTAAGCTTAATCGGAAAGTCAGTTCGAAAGTTGTTATATCTGAAAGCATAAAACTCGATTTTTGACGAGCTCTAAAACACCATGGGTATAGAGTAAATTAATTCAGTCTTTTATTTCTTTCAGTACTTTTAGCAGATGCTGTTCTTTTGGGGCGTTATTGCTGGCCAAAACAAATATGAAGAGCCGGAGTCTGAGACCGCGTTTGTGTTTCTGTCTAGGAGTATGAGAAGTCAGAAATGTGCAACGTTATCATAACTAAGTGCATGTGGATGCGTGTGCTTGTGATTTTCCCGAAACGAAACGAAACGAAACCGTCTGCATATGCATAATTCATGCTATTGAACCTTCTGCGGTTATGACTGGACATGGACATGGGGCCCTGGACCTGAACTTACCCACTGAGAGTGGAGGGGGCTGTGGGGGATCTCAGCCAGGCAACTAGAAAAATTATAATTTCACAAGTCATAATAGGATTTGCAATTCAAATGCGAAAAGGCAACGCAGACACTGAAAGCGGACTCAAGTCGACTCGAGCTGGGTTTCTTTCAGATTGTTCTCGTTGTTGTTGCCGTTTCCTTTTTGCGAAAATTTCTGTGGAAGGAGCGAACAACAATAAGAGGCTTCGCGGCCAGGGCCCAGACTTATGACCAAGGCTCTGGCCCTGGCCAATATGTCAAAAATATTAAGAGACATGGCCAATGGGCCCGGGAATAGCATCGGGAATCGGCAAAAGAATCGGTTCGGGGCTTGCAGTTTGGGGATTGGCCAGGCTATCGGACGGGGATCATGCATAAATATGCAAACGATAAGAGCTCGCCTCTATAAAGTTGTAAAATTGACAAGCGTTGCAATGCCAAACTCTCAAATAAAGCAATAAAATGCGCTAAAACATCGCCGGCCAGGGATCGCAACTCCAGGCCGATCGGTAGCCATGGACCAAATGCAAAAATTAGAAATGAAAGCCAGCGGGTTGCAGCAACCACCCGCTCCCCCGCCGCTTCCACAACCTTGCCTGCCTGCCCAGAATTTATGCCATTCTGGCTGGGCCTTGGCGGGGGAACTGGCAAGATGAAGATCCGATGGGGAGATGAGCACGGAAGCATCATCGTTTGTCACTGGCGCATGCAAAGGCTCAATTCATGATTCTGCCTCGACATCGAGGAGGAAGTGCGCCCCGAGTGACAGCAGGCAGCGCATAAAGATAACAAATAGTATTGCGGTGGGTTGCATCGTAATCATTTCAAGCTGCCAATACCGGCAGCCCCAGAAGGGAAGCCCACAACTTACGACTCACTTAGGGCTTCCTACTTCATGCGAAATCGGGCCTAAGCTTATTCCCCGGAAACTCAAAGATATGGTCTCGATAAGCACTTCGAAGGAGTTTCGGAACTCGAGATGCGCTTCGGAGGGTCGCGAGACAAAAGACTTAGGCAACGAACATGACAGTTTTTCCAGCTAAGTACGCGCGCGGAGCGGCCAGGTTTAATTAGGGATTAGGCCCTGGCCGTGCTCAGCTGCGGCGTCATAAATATTTAATGATATTGTCAGCTCCGCGGTCAGAGACCATACATACAGTATATCCCTGATCTTGGCTGCAGACCGGGCTTATTCTCCCGCCTTGGCTTCAATTTAAATCAAATGTGCACACTGATGCCGTCGACGCCACGAGGCTCGCTGTTGGTTTTGGTTTTGGTTTTGGTTTTGTTTTTGGCTGTGGCTGTGGCTGAGACTTTTGCTTTGGCTCTGGTTTTGGTTTTGGTTTCGGCCCGGCTCGACTGGCCATGGCCTTTTATTTTTAGCATATAGTAAGCATATGATCGACACTCGGACTCGCATGAGTGTGTGCTCGTGCTATTTTTAGTGGTGCATTTAAGTGGCGACCGCATTCGGCCGGGCCACGGCCTGAACTCTCTAGCGAAATGTGTCCCGCTGTGAATTATGTGCCTACATAAATTACCCGGCCAGGAATTAATCATGTTTTATGCAGGACTGCGGCAAAGCCTGCCTAGAAACGC